CAGGAGTGGCCGCGCAAGTCACACATGGGGCTGCGCAAGTAAAGCGCAAGTGAAGCGCAAGCGACGCAGTGATTCACCATCATCATCATCATCATCATCATCATCATCATCATCATCATCATCATCCTCATCCTCATCCTCATCCTCATCCTCCTCCTCCTCCTCCTCATCATCACAATGGCCCAAAGATTGGCAAGTGTTCACGCAAGTTCCACGCAAGTTCCACGCAGATGAGGAGTGGCCCATTTCTGTATTTTGCATTTTCTTTCTTCTGCAGATCCCAGCAATTCTGCCGAGTGAATTTGTTAGCAGACAATTTGCAGCGGTGTATACACATGAGGCCTCATACACTTAAAGGGGCATGCTATTGGGGGACCTCATGCTTATGAAGACCGCCGCTTGGATTTGCAATGAAAACAACTTGGGATAAGAGTTTTAATACGGGTTTATTTTTCCAGCTCAACTGCTCACCACCCTTCCTTGCAACCCTTCAGTGGATAAGTGCAATGGAAACGATCCATTTCCTGTTTTTGGACAGTGGCAGTTTCAGAACTCAGCCAGTCAATTGCCACTTTTGGAGGGGAACTCCAGCGGCCTCAGTTTTCCTTCGAGTTCTCCCTTTAAACCCACCACTTAAGGGGTACCAACTCAAAAGGCGAGCCACCTCGCAGTCCCAAGCCGAGGTGAGCTGCTGCCAAGAGACCAACAGCAAGCTGCTGGAGCTTCAGACGCTTCTAGAGGCAGAGTCCAAAGAGGCGCGAAGGGCACTGCCGCGGAGCTGTTTCGCGCATTGGTGTCGTCACTTCGACGGCAGCAACAAAGACAAAAGGGGTTGCGATTCTACTTCAGACCCTTCCACTTGATATCTGGGACTCACAAAGAACTCTCACCTTGAGATCAGCTGCGGACCCCATTCTTGGAATCAGGGGAGTCTTCATCAGAACTGGAGCAAAGGGGTTGGCATCAGTTGGCAGCGCATGGAAAGCAAAGCCCAGTTCTTTCACGCAGGCGCTGACAGCCGGATTGCTGCAAGCGATCCAAGAAAAGGAGTCGCAGATTGACCTGTCCGCTCTCTTGACCAGCATGGAGCAGAACAGGTCTGATATTCTGGCCAACATGGAGCACGATAAATCCGAAATGAGGGAGGATTTGTACCAGATGCAGGCGTGGAATCGATGGTGCTTTGATGAGGAAACACCTGGGTTTGACATGTGGGTGTGTGTTTGTTTAGGGGGCCCCAGAATGGTGGTTTCCTTTTTGTTGCCCTATTGCTCTTTAACCTCACAAAAAAGGGGTCGCAACCTTTTGTCTCGTTTCTGTTGTGAGTCGCAAGGTCAAAGTGGAGGAAGGCCTGGACTCCCTGGGGCATTCCGTGGAGTCTGTGGGGCAGTCAGTCACTGCAGTCACCGCAGAGCTGAAAAGCACCCAGCAGAAAACGGCGTCAGAGTCGGAGGGCATCATGAAGGCTCTTGAACTTATCGAGGCGGTTGGGTATGGTGAAATGAGGGGAGGGCGTGTCTTTTGAGGGTACCCCCCGGTGGTTTTAAATGGAAGCCAAGGGAGACCACTTGTTCTGGGGGTCCTGAATATGCCAGAGGTTCGAACGGAAGACAGGAGACTAAGCTTTTGGGTAGGCCGATAGAAAGAGCTGAAGGAGAATCCGATGGCCTGCTCAGTTTTGTTTTCCCCGACAGCACAGGATTGTTGTAAGGTGATTATGCACCGGGTGTTTTTTGTTTTTCTTTTCAGGAGAAAGAGCAAACAGCTTGATACCTGGCTTTGCTCTGAAAACTGCAGCATGTGTGTCAATTTTGACAAAGACTTTGATCCCCTTTGCAGGTCAAGCCGCAGGTGCAGGTGAACCTGTCCGAGGTGTCAGGCGCTGTGGAGGACGGCTGAACCCTCAATCGACTGAGGGGGGCTGCCTGCTTTGCCAATTACTTGTACCACTTTGGCGAATCTCCGAATGAGGCAAAGCGTGTACCCTCAAGCGGACTATCCTGTTCAACTCATATTGCATTGACAGGGTTCCAATGCTTCCATTAGGTCTCATCGGGCCAGTTCGCAGGGTACCTTTCGCATTTTTGCTTGCTTCATGAAGAGTAATTATGAAAAATCGCCACACCGGCAGCCCAGCTTTGATATTTGAGGAGATCCAGCGCAAAGTCGAGGAATTTGACCAGCGTGTCATGCAGGCCATCCACCAGCAGGCGGGGGTTTCCCACGACAAAAGGTTGCCTTGAGGTACTTGGCTGAAGGGAGTGCTTCGTCTTCACTTGCTCAAGAGCGGCAGAGACACCCGGTCAACGTTTGTCTCCAGGGGATCTGCAAAGAAAGAAACGGAAACTCCGCAGCGCCAAGAGAGCTGCGGACTTTGAGCCCGGCTGCAAAGATGAGTGAACACGCACCAGGCAGCGCAAAGGCGTGACCCATTTGACTCAAGGGAGCACGACAACAACAGACAGCAGGCAGTGACTTCCGCAGAGCTAGAGCGCTTTCAGACCCATTCCGCGCATTTGACATCAAACTGGCGCTCTCCATGATGGAGCAAAAGTTTCGGCCAGCGCCGATGGCCGCACGTGTAGATGGTTGAGTTTCAAGCCCACAGGGCGGCGCACCTGGGTTTCCAACCATCACTGGTAGCATGATAACTTCCTTACAGTCGGGGTGTTTGACATGGTGCTGGATTTTGATTGAGAACACCCACCAAAATGGACCACCAAAATCATTCCCCTTTCCATCCTGCAGCCCACGAGTTTTCTTGCCTCTTGAAGGTACGTTTTTTTTGGGGCGGTTTTAGAAGGGAGCCAAAAGGGAACCTTTATTTGGGTGCGCCCGATTTTTAGACAACTTCTCCTTGAGGTTGCGGGCCAAGATCAGCTGCTGGCCGGCGTCGCGGAGATCTCCACGCAGTCGCAAAGGCGTGGCATGCCTTGTCGGCTGGTGAGGCGCCAAACCAAAAGGCTCGCGCCCCGCTCCCCTGGCCCTATCTTGGCTCGCTTTCATCCGCCTGTGCCGCGTTTGCCCGTATCGTGCGGTGTTTGTCGCCGTCTGTCGTTGAGACGCGCGGCTGTTTGGATCATGTGTTGCGTAATGTGGTGACGGCCGCACATCTTTCGTGGCTGGTGGGTTTCGCGTGAGGAATGCAAGGGCCCACGTCGCTGCACTCTGGTTTTGATTTGTCAGCTATGCTCCTGCCTCCGCGGCGGGACATGAAGCCTTTTCCACACCAAAGAAAACCGGACCGCAAAGAAACCACGATTTGGGTCAATGTTCGCGTTGAGAAATTTAATCCCCGAGGGAGGGAGAAAGAAAGATCCTGAGAGACGCTCAGATGCTAGTCAGGCCTCTAGGCAACCGTAGTTCCTGTACCAGACAATGAGAGACGATTCATGGATGTAACCATATTCCTACATGCCAAATTGGGGGCCCCTCACTCTTGTGGAGCAGAAGCTAAACTCAAAGTGGTGAAAGGGCAGGGCACGTGCATATCTTGCATGCCAACGGACAACCCTGGGGGACATGTCAAAAGCGAACCTTTTTGGGGTTTTGGTCAACACACGCTTCAATTGTGGGCCTCTACCAATAGGACCAGTGACCCGCCTGCAGGCACGCAGAGTCCCTGGAGCTGCAGCGGCAGAAAACAGATGAGGCCGCTTTACTACAGAAACAGGCCATATTCTTGTGTGTTTGGTTTGCTGGATTTGTTTCGTTTGTGTCAGGGAGGACTTGGGGGACACCCAAATTACCCGTTCAAATTCAGGGGCCCAATTTGTCCATGTCTTGTGGAACAAGGAATATAGAGTTGGATTTCGGCTTGACGAGCGGCCTTTGAGAGCCATTTGTTTCACTCTTTGTCCTGACTCGACGGAAGGTACCCCCGAACATCTACCCACCCCAAAGCCAATTTTGCTGTGACGTGGATCACACAAGAAGCTCCGACCTGGTGCCAAAAAAGGCACGGATTGCCAACCTAAGACATGGCTGTTTATTGCATAGAAGATGATTGGGGGCTGTGGTGCGGGGCTTGTGATGCCCTCTACGTGTCATCGAACGTAGGTGGATGGAAGTCCCAAATGCTCTTGCTGTTGTGTGACATAGTGTTGCAGCTGTGTTGGCATAGTCAAGCGGCGAAAGTAACAGGGAGGTTCTCTTTGGACACGACTTCATCGAGGTTGGAACGAGCGCTGTCAACCAATTGTCAACACAAGCTGGGGCGGAACATCCATATTCGTTCATCGGGTGAGGATTGAGGGTTCTGGGCGCACACACTAGCCTCAAACGGAGAAAGCCGAGACCAACCTGCCCAAATGTGACTTTAAGAGCACCACTGCAGTTCATATTCCTTACCAACAGCCGGGACCAAACAGATGCTCTAAGCCAAACCTTCCAGAATTCAGCAGCGACCATGAAGACCTCTTTCCCACCTTTCAGGTGTGCGAGGAAGGGGTCGTCAGCTTGTCTTGACCAGAACATGGGGCAAACCAAAGGTCCAGGTTGACGCCAGTTTCGAGACCAAGTTAACAGGCAAAACCCCAACCAAAAGGCAACCCAAAGGTGTGTGCCCTCCCTTAGGTGCTGGAGGCGGCCTCGGCACCGGAGAAATCGCTGGAGAGCCTCTCCCAAAACCTCACGCAGGCCCTCGATGAAAAGCGATCTCCTCGGCATGCGACATGAACACCCGGATTTTGCGTGGATAGTACATTGTGATTGAAATCTGGGAACAATAGCCGAGGTCTGCCATTTGGGTCACTTGCTTGCGGGTAAATTAATCGAAGTCTGCCACTCGGGTCACTTGGACTGTGGGAATATTCATGGAACACTGCCACTTGGTTCTGGGTCACTTGGGTCCGTAGTCTTTGGGTAGTCTTCCCGCAGGTTATGGGCCTCTACAACAAATTGCCCAAAAACAAGGCTAACGATAAGAAAGTCTGGGCTCCAGGGGCAAACCCGCATTGTCCAAGTGACCCACGTGACCCACGTGACCCAAATGACCCAAGTGACCCCAAATGACCCAAGTGCAAGTGACCCAAGTGTCCCAAGTGACCCAAGTGACCCAAGTGATTCAAGTGACGCAAGTGTCAGTGACCCAGACCCAAGTGACGCAAGTGATTGATGTGATCCCAGTGACGCAGGCAACCCAATTAATTTAATTATTCGTGTAAGATAAAGAGTGTTCAGCTGTGGCAAAAAACTAGAAAGTTTGCATCCAGAAAAGAACTTGGGGATACCGACTTTCCAGACTTCGCAGCTGCCGTATCACTTCTAGACAGGGGCTGGCCAGTGAAAACACTTTGGTCGCTTGGATCACTTGCCACTGCGGTACGTAGTGACCTGCAAGTCTTTGGGAAGTCTTCCCGTAGTCTCCCAAACGAGCCAGCCTCTACAACAGATTTCCCAGGGCTAACGTAAAAGGTCGACCAGCCCAAGGTCTGCAGGGTCGCTCAAGCGATTTGACAACCGAAGAAGCTGCGGGCGAGCAAGTCTGTGTCCGCGAGTTTCTCTTTTGAGATACATACTTTTCGGCCGTTACGCCAGGCGGCAGTGGATGAAAGCCTCCCCACACAGAAGAAAGCTTGGGAATACAGACTTGTAACTTGCCCCCCTGCGCCCCCCATTATTGCGGCGAAGAAAGTGCCATGTGACATAGAGACTTTGCTGTCGGTCCGACGGGGTCGCTTAGGTCACTTGACTCACCTGGGACTTGAGTCGTTGGGTCACTTGGGTCGCTTGGATCGCTTGGATCACGTCGGTCACCTGGGCCTCTTGGGGCACTTGGGTCAGCATTTGGGTTAGTTGGGTCCTTGGTCCCAAAAGACCCAAGTGACCCAAGTGGCCGAAAGTGAACCAAGTGACCCAAGCAGCAAGCTTCAGTTATCTAGAACCAAGTGACAGACTGGCTGATCTAGCCCCCGGAGAAGACGTCTAGCGGGTCAAGGCAAGCTTTAAACGCCGGAGCCCCCGCAAAATGCCCTGTCCCTGCGTTTCTCTTCTGATCCCTTTGCTTTCTCTATGACCGTGTCAAAAACAGGGGCATTTTCAAGCAAGGGGCAGCAACAAGCGGTCAGAACAAGAAGGGGCACGAGTCGCGACTCGAGCGGAGTGAACATTTGCACTGACTGCCGAACAGACAGGAGATACAGAGATGTAAAAATAGACTTCCAGGATACGGGAAGGGGTAGCAAGTACACGCAGAGACACAACCCACACACGCACACATTTGCGTGCACAAACAGCTTGGTAGCATGTGTTCGCAGATCTTGCAGGGAATCAGGGCCATGTCTGAAGGGGGTTGCCATAGGCTTTTGGAAGTGTGTTCAATGTAAAGATGGGGACAAGGATACGTTTACTTACCTTTCTGATTATGAAAAGCGGTCAACGACTTTGGTAGGAGTGTAACGTCTCAAGGGGAGGATGGTTGTGCCATACGCAGGTGCTGGAATGCATTCAGCAACGGCCAACAAAAGCCGAGATGGGCGAGCAATTTTCCTCCTGGTTGCAGCATTTGCAGGCCCGGATGTGTGTCTGCTTGTCCGCTTTCTGCCTAATTGTCCGAGCAGCTGACACGCATGTTAAAACTGGCATGCCTGCTGTGCTGCATCTTGGCCTTGTGCACTTCTGTCTGAAAGTATTTGACCCCTTTCAAGAGTGTCTTGATTCGAAACGAGAGCATGGGTTGAAGACCTTGCGTAACGTTGCTGAGTAGTTGTCATTTTCTGAAGGAATACCCAAAAGAACGGGTGGAGCAGACTGTATGCAGCAATGGGTGCTGTTGAGGCTGCTAAAAAGGCTTTCAGTAATCCCTTGTACCCATGATAGGACCCAACACTGAAAAGGTTTGGAATGCCGAGGTGGATTTGCAGGCTTTGAGAAAGGAGCAGGAACTCCTCCCTCCGCCGGTGGACATCGCGCGCCAGATCTCTGATGCCATGGAGGCGCGAGCGAGCGCTGCCGGCGGGCGTTAGGGTCTCGCAGGTTTCATCAGACGGAAGGGGGGCCAAGGCTGCCGACAAGAGCGGCAAGCCGGCGGTGCAGATCGCAGTCAAGGAGCAGTTGCAGAAGTTCAAGCAGGACTTTCTCATCAAGCTCGAGGCCGGCAAGTGGGTTTGCGTCAAAAGAATGAGAGACCCCAAAAATTGTGGTTTTGCTTTTGGCTTCCCTTCAACCCTAAAAAGTAAAAAGGGTCCCTCAAAAGCACCTAAGTGGGTGCGTGACCCTCGTGACACATGTCCAACTGGGGCGCGTCAGAGAGGAGCTGAGACTGGTATCCCCCGCGGTTTGGCTGAACAAATCAGCATGTAGCCAGCGAAGATCGACCGGGGGGACTTGCTCGACTTAGATGAAGAGCCGAAGTGCCTTGCGCCGCTGTACCCAGTGCGCCCTACCTTGCCATTCCCTCCTGGCATTGCATTCGCACTGACCAAACACCTTTGCTTTCCCGAGGCCTGCCTGCAGGATCAGCACTCCCAGAGCCAAGCGCAGATGTCTGAGCTGGTTGAAGGGCAGGTGCAGAAGCTCCGGGAAGATTTCCATTCGCAGATTCAGGATGCCTCTCCTGGGCTGGAATTTGCGAGCAAGATTGAAAGCGAAAGAGAAGGAGAAAGAGAAAGAGAAAGAGAAGATAGAGAGAAGAGAAAAGTGGAAGAGAAAGAAGAGTCAGTCAGGAATGCAGAAGGAGCAAGATAGGGCGAGAGAAAGGAGCGAGAGAGAGAGAGAGAGAGAGCGAAAGTGACAAAGGAGGGAAGGAAGGAAGGACACCAGCAAACCGCGCGATTGCACAGGACCGTCGTGCTGACCAATCTGACCGGTCCGATCGCGCCGACGTGCTTCCGGCCACGCAGGCGCGATGAATTGATCGTGTGAGCAAGAACCGGCAGTCAATGGCTTTTGGGCGCTGCTCATTTGATCTTTTGGCTATCAAGTGAGCTTTCTGTTTTTTCCCCAGGTCTGAACACATTGTTTTCAGGCGCTCTGCCCTTGATGAAAAGACACTTTCAAGAGGAAGTCGAATGCACCTCACCCTTCTAGTTGGCCTTTCCTCAAAGTGGCCAACGCACTCCCCGCGCCTACCAACAGAATCTGGGGACTCTCCATGTTTGGCTCTTAAGGTAAACTCACTTGCAGGGGCCCAGATATAGTTGGAACGTGTCCACGGAAGTCTGCAGGTTCAGGAGCTGCAGAAGTCTGTTGCAGAAGCTATCAACAAGATCCAGCCGAGCGGCGGCCCAGCTGAAGGTTGTGGGAAGCAAAGTCAGAGTCTGCTTAGCGATAGCATATGATCCACCCAAGCAGGGAGACGTTGCGCATCGGGGGATGTCCGTAGCTCGCCCTTTTTGTTGCGCGCGAAATTGGGGAGGTGTGGACTTGACGCCCGTCCTAGATGGCCTTCGAAAGAACCACGAGCTCACGCAGGCGCGAGCGAAGTGCGACCACCTCTTTGGTGTCCCGCTTTTCTACCGAAGTTTGTTTTAGTAGATTGAATATGGGCATGGCGATTGCAGGGGTTGAGTCTCTTCCCTGAAGGGCCTGGGTCACTCCTTGCGCGCTTGGCGCGCAGAGCTGAGACCAAGCTCCTCAGGGTCGGTCAGATCGACGACGAAGCCGTCACAGGCGGAGATTGCGGCGGCTGAGGCGGCCGCGGCCGAGGCCATCAGGGCATACCAAGCGGCTCAGACAGCTCAACCGGTTGTGCCGGCGGAACCCCTCGCGGCAGCCCAGAGAGCAGAAGCAGAGACAGAAGAGACAGAAGCAGAGGCTGGGGGTGAAGAGACGGCAGTGGCAACGTCCGGTGGGACGCCTGGAGGTAAAGCCTGGCTGTGTTTTATTTTTAAGGATAGAGGGGGGGGGGGTAGCAAAAGGCATAATCTGGGGTGATCCAAGGCAGGCGTGGCTTAATGTGCGGTACTGTCGTTTTTTCTCCTTCCTTTTTGTTTTCCATTTTATTTTTCTTGCCTTTCCGAGGATCTGGGAGCTCCATCAAATGCTGTCGGAGACACTGTCGGAGAGCTTCCAGAACCAAGGGGAGCTTCTAAAGCGGCTCTTCGAGGAGCGGAAGTTTGGACTTCCACTTCACGAGCCCAGAAGGCTTTGTTCTCCAAAAGGAGACTCCACTGAGGGTTGTCTGGGTTCTATGCCAATCTGGCGAGTAACCTGAGTACCTCCAGATCTTTCTTCAGTTTGTCCTTTGGAATACTTGGAAAGTGACACACTCGCTGTCCACATCCGACAGATTTGTAGCCTCTGAGATTCCTCCTGCCAATCTCAATTTTAGGATGTGTTTTTCTTGACCCCGGAAGGGACCTTTCTTTAGGCCTCGTATGCGCCCTTGCCAGGAGCGGGGTTTGGAGATTGACCTCTCGCAGATCATCGCAGCGTTGAACCGCCATGGTGCCGATGTGGAGTCTTGGCCTACGCTTTTGAACGAAGGGTTGCGGGGAAGGGAAGTGAAGCTTCTCTCACGAACACACGAGGCATACCCATTTCAGGACATGTCCGTGTCTAGCCAAATTTGGCAAGCTCTCTCTAGGTGGGGGACGACAGCCTTACCAGTGACGGTTCCATACTTAGGATTATGTGCCATGATCAGGAGACCTGATCCTTGAGAGACATGGACTGTCGTGCAATCGTTCCTTTGATGGTCATCACTGAGTTTTCACCACGGTGCCTATGGGGATTGGTCAATATGGTGCTTGTTGGTGCTGAGAATCTTGCTGCTGCAGCTGAAGCAACAGGTTTTGACAAACATCTATGCTTTGTGGGCAGTTTGATCGAGAAGGCGGATCAGTTTTAGGTGTTGCCTTTTGCATGTGATGAGTAGCATATCCGGGTTTGCCCTCAGTTCAAGAGGAAGGCGGGTAACGTGAACTTTTGGGGAAGCGTTCCCACCATCCTACTTCTTCCTCGAGGCTACATGGGCCATTGGTATGGGCCCTAATTGGCTTGTCATACAAAAACTCATTGTGTAGTGGGCCATGTAACTTTCCCTAGATACCAGATCAGTCGCTGACTGCTGACCGAGGAAGCGGCGCTGCGGGCGATCCACGACCAGCTTCGGAGGGCGGAGTTCCTGCAGCGAGCGGCTTCGGGGCCCCACGACGCCATCAACATCCGGAACGACATCGCGCCCGCGGACCGCATCCAGGCGTGGAATTCGGGCCAGGTGAGTGTGTGTCTCCTGTGTTGTCACGCTAGCGAGGATGACTCAGGTGTTGTCAAAGAGACCCGACCTGTGTTGGGAAAGCAAGCCTGGCTGCCGGGGTGACCTTGGGGCATGTAGTTGAGGGAATGTTGGAGAATGACTCAGCTTCGGTCGCAGGAGGACAATTCTGGAGAGGTGCTTTCGGCGGTGAGGGACCTCCAGAGGAGCTTGGACTTGTCCTACGAGTTCTCGGCTGTGCTGACTGCGATACAGGACAGGGACGCAGCACCTCCTTGGTTTTGAGAGTGTGCCGGGCGCTTGACCCCTCCAAATCGTTGGTGTCAAATGTGAGTTTCGCCTGGGGGTTTGGACAGTGAGAACAAGGAGTACTAGTGAGCCAGGGGACCTTTGACGAGCATGGAACCATTGAACCAGCTCAGGTGGAGTCTACACTCTTGACTCTTGAAAGACCCTTGGCTTCCTGATTCACACACGGGCTGAAATCCGAAATCCAGCCAGCAACTTGACCGCCCGATGTCATGCCGGTCATGCGTACCCTTGGGCCGAGGTTCTCACGTGGGACCAAGCCGAATTGGGGGGTTGGATTTGTTGCTTCGCAAGATAGCTGGAGCCACTCTGACCCAGACCTCGTTCTTTCGAGTCGGAGAAAACTCTTGTTTGTGTGTGCCTGTTTGTGTCTGTTTGTCGGTCGCTCTGCCTGCCTGCCTCCCTGCCTGCCTGGCCGTCTGTCTGTCTGTCTGCCTGCCTGCCTGCCTGCCTGCCTGCCTGCCTGCCTGCCTGCCTGTCTGTCTGTCTGTCTGTCTGTCTGTCTGTCTGTCTGTCTGTCTGTCTGTCTGTCTGTCTGTCTGTCTGTCTGGTTCTTTCAATTGTCTGTCAGGTTCTTTCAGCTGTTTGTGAGGAACATGTTGGAATCCACATTTGGAATTCCTGCTCTGTTTCCGTGTTTGCTCCTTTTTTGGCGGAATGGATATTCCAGAACTCCCCCAACAAAATATCGTTCAATTTATCTTTCTCTTTTCTGTGTCCGTCTCTTTTGCCGGCTCATCGTCCTCTCTCCCTTTCTCTCATTCTCCCTCCCCTCCCCCTCCTTTCCCGCCCTATGTCTGCAGGAGCAAGACTTTACGCCCGTCTTGGCCGCTTTCCACGACCAGAGGGCGGATCTCAGCACGCAGCTTGAGGACGTGCGGGCGACGCTCCAAAAGGCCTCGGGTTGAAGCTCTGGGGCTTTGGATCCGACACTATTGAACTTTCTAAGCATTCCATACGGGACTTCTGGTCATGGCATTCATTCTGGTGGATCCACCCGATTGTACGGTCCGGGATTGAATCAAGCAGTGAAGGATTCGCCCTTTGTTTGGTTTGGCGATAGGCGTTAGGATGCACAGCCAAATGCTCTCATGAATGTGAGCTTTCACTGACAGGCTTGAGAACCGCTTGATAAATGACCTATCCCAACAGGGTGCTTGAGGTCACGCCGCTGAGCTTGTCGTCAATCCAAAAGATCGAGCCAAGAGTGCACCCCAAATGGAGGAGGTCCCTTCCAGGCATCCAAGGCAAGTCTCGCTTGAATTGGATGGAGAAGTTCGGGGGAATGCCGGGTTCGCCAGCCAAACCCGCCAGGTTTTGGAGCGGCCGGAGGCGCCGCGGCGCCCCGAGTCGGCCGCACGGCGGCCGGAGTCGGCGCCGAGGAGGCCTATGTCCGTGAAGGCAGGGCTTTCGCCTGGAGTTCTGCGAGTTGATCGGGTTCCATTGACCAAGCTGCCAGTTTGGTACATTTGTTTGAGCCACAGCCAAATGCTTGCGATCTACCGGTGTCCGGTGGTTTCCTTGCGCTGTTTCATCATGGCTGACGACATGAAGGCTTTCTCCCGATAGCACACTCGTGGCTGAAAAGGTTTTTCATGGGCCCGTGCAAATTCCTGATTGGACAGTCGAAGGTTTTCCGCCCTGGGAACATGAGCCCAGATGATCTGCAATCCATGCGCTGTGCGTTTTGTTGGCGCGGGCGTCCCTAATTCAAACTGGCATCCAGATTGTCACTACAGACAAACCCATTGCGTTGGCCAGCCTATCCAGGTTTGCTGCCATGACTTGCCTTTTGCCTCGCACAAGGCATGCGTTAGCCTCGTGATGCGAGCAAGCTTTGATGCGACTGAACGACACTTGCAGTGTCGAGGTCGGCGAGTCAGAGCTAGCTGTGATCCTTGATGCGATCAAGGAGCAGAAGGTCCGCTGCTCAGACAGGGCCAGGGAGTTCAATCATGTTACTTGTGCCTGACCTTTAGTTTGGTTTCACTTTCCTGGTGCTGACTGGCATGATTGGAGGGATTTGGAGTTTTTGGCCGCTGGGCCTTGCCACGTGTTTGCTTTACGGAGAAGGCCGCGTTGCCCGTAGGAACGCAGTAGCTGGGAGGTCCAAACGTTACTATGGCTGGCACAGGTGGCGTTGACTTCTCCTTTCGCTCTGTTCGGCCTGTTTGGTTTGTTCGGTTTGGATCTCATTTTGCCACGCTTGCTAGCCTCGGCTCCACCTAGGGGGAGTTTTGCTGTCGCAAGGACTGCTTAGGCAAGCAAGAGTCAGTCTCAGCACACATCTCGCGCTTGCAGCCACTGCGAGGTCCCGGGGGGGAGGGGCGGAGGGGGCGCTTGACATTGGAGAGCTGAGGTCTCCATCGATTTTTCGGTGGCCCAAGTTCTCAACAACATCCAGCAGAAGCAACAAGAGACGTTGGTCACTTGGTTAAAATAGAAGATACTTCGGTTTAGTTTCCACTTGCCCAAGAATTTAGAATCATTTTCCGGGTTGTGCTCCGTGTCCATAATACCATACCTGCGATGATCAGCTCTGAGCGAGGCAAAATGGTTTGTTTGGGAAATCCAACCGCCAACGCGCGAGATGTTCAGGACAAGTTAGTGCTAACAGACCAGCAGCTCAATGCGCTGAAAGAGGCGTTGAGGCGGCTCAACGGCCAGGACTCGGCGGGATGACGCGCCCGGGGGACTCTGTGGGGGGTATCAGAAGAATGCCACCTCCGAATGGAATCCACGGTTTTCCTCATTTGGGCTGCGCATGCGTGTTCCATTCATGTTGACACCGGAATCCACGTTGCTTGAACTGTTGTGGTTGTCTTTTTCCCTAGCAGTTGAGCTAATAGCAAACATTCAATTCACTGCTTGAATAGCACTTTGGAAAAAGGCCCGATTGATTCGTGCGTCGTGTGGTTGTCATTTGCCACTTGACTTGTCTTGATTCGAACTTGTTTGGTCATTGGCCGACAGACTCGCGCCAAGACAGCCGCAAAGACATCATCTTCATTCCAACTCGACTCCAACCCCACTCCAACTCAGTCTAATACCCACCAATTCCACCCCAACTCCATTCCCAAATTCACCCACTCCAACACACCCTAAGTCCCCAAAAGACATCCCCCCAAGACATCCCCCAAAGACATCCCCCTGAAGACATCCCCGCAAGACGCCATCCAAAGTCACCCCCGAAGACATCGAGCAAGACTACCGCTAAGACATCCCCAAAGAAGCTCGCGAAGACATCCCCCAAAGACAAGTTCCGAAGACATTCCAAGGCTCTCAAAGTACTGCGTTTGCCACGAAATCTGCCGCCAAGCTCCAAAGTGCTGCGCCTGGCAACCAATCTGCACGCCAAGCTCTGATGTACTGCGCCTGCCACGGAATCTGCGCACCAAGATCCAAAGCGCTGTGCCCACGGAATCTGCACGCCAAGCTCCAAGGTCAAAAACAGCATGGGACTGCGGCGCCAGAATGATGTTGACCGGTTTTTTTTTGCAAATGTGTGGCCCGCCTCCCCAAGCAAAACACCTGAAAGACCGATATCAATGGCACGGCGACGCAATAGCGCAGCCTTCTAAAACACTGCGCCTGCGCAACGAAACAGCACGCGTCTGGAAAACTACAATGCCAGCACGGGTGCGTTAAAAGCAGCGAACGCTTTTTACGTCACTCCAGGCGCTACTTTTGTTTCTTACCCAGTGGCAAGTCGAGCGCGACGCTCGCAGACGCTTTGCGAACACTTCACGGTTGTAATTGCAACCAATCTTGGTCACGCCACAACCGCCAGACCTCCCACCTGAACCCTTCTGCTGCGCGTCTGGGAACAAGTTTGCCCCTCATTGGTTGAAATAGCTGAACAACATCAGCCACGCCGTTGACTAGATGTGGCTATCACGACGCAATCGACTCAGTGCTCCCTCCGTGTTGCTCATACGCTGAATCTCGTAGCCTGGAGCCACTGTCCCCGTTTCTCAACAGAATTGCCTTTCGAGCTGAAATATTAATTTAGCAGAGTAGCACCCTCCACAAAGTCAGTTCCAACAGAAAAAATATGGCTGGACTTATTTCATGTTTGGTATCGGGGGCTACACGCGAGGAGGGGCGGCCGCGCAGCGGGGTGGCCACCTCTCCCCGGTGCCAGCCCTGGCTGCAGCTGCCTGGGGCGCCATGGACCGGCCATGCGAACCAGGGCACTTCCTTTCTTTCGATGAAAATCAACAGATGAAAATCAACGGAATCAATTGTTCCCTAGAAAATATAATTGGCTTTTCAGAGCTTGGGGGAATCCGGGAACCACAAACCCTAAGGGCAATTTGGGAGATGGGGGGAAGTCAACCAGGTCAATGGTCGATGGTGCCACAGCTAGGTTGCAATGGCTTTCCTTATGGCCCTGAATCAGTAGAGGGATGAGGGGCGGGGCGACCTTCCCACGCTGCCAAAGAACCCACCACACAAAATCGCATGAGGGCGCATAGTGTGGGATGAGGGCGCATTTTGGTGGGTTAGTAAATGGTGAGTCATGTTACAGGGTTGGATGACAAGGTAAAGGGGTTGATTTGTAGGCAGGTTGGTTGGCTGGCTGGTTCGTTGGTTGGTGGGTGGGCTAGTGGTTAGTCCGTCCGGCTGCAGAGAGGTTGGGCAATCGGTTGCTGTGGATAGGTAGGTAGGTAGGTTGCTCGGTTGGCTGGTGGGTTCGACGAGCATAGACTACTGTGCATTCTGTTGGATGTATTGCACCGCATTGGCCCGCAGGATCCCTCCTGGCATCCTGGGGCTGGAGAAGCCTGGCTGAGGCACATGGGATGCTACGCAGGTCTCGAGCTGCCAAAGTGAGCAGCTCCAAAGAGCGTCGGGATCGGCTTAACAGGCCAGCAGCCTCCCGAAATACATCGCACGAAGGATTTTTGCGCCTGTTTTTTTGCTTGCTGGGCACTTGGTGGCCACACAAGCTAGTTGCCCGCGGCGTGTCTTAGATGCGGAGCCATGCGGGTAGGTTCTTGCGACCAGATTTTCGAGCTGAGAGCCTTTGCTCAACAGGGACATTGCCAAAGGCAAGTCCTTTGCTTGACTAGACTCCACGAGGCATTGGAGGGCATGGGCTTGTCCAAAACGGACCTGCCCAGCCGGGCGAAGCGTCTGCCGCCGGCATGTAAAACTCATGAGGACACGAGAGGCCCTATTGTCCAGAGTGATAAGGTTCACACTTCTGCCTGGGACTGTGTTGTGGCTAAGTTGAAAGGCTCCCTATGACATGGACGTTTGCTATTGCATAGCCCCAGCATGCCCCTTCGACCGGCGAGCGTGTTCGCCAAGAGCAGAGCCATTCGCAAGGTGTGGAAGCAGTTCTGCCTGCTGTTCTCAGCGTGCGCGGCTTGGTGCTTGTTTTGGTTCAGTCGCCAAGCGCAGAATCTCAGGTTTTGAAGCAAAAGGAGAAGACGGAGGTGAAGGCTAGGCATTGTGCGGGGCCCTGGAAAAGAACATAGACCCATTCCGATCGATCTCGAAGGTGGGCGCGCTGCGGCTCCTGGCGTTGCTGCGAGATGAGGATCTCGAAAAGGTTTTCGCGGAGACACGAGATGACCCAAGCGGATTTGTTTGACCGAAGTTTGTGTAGAAAAGCATTCAAAACATGGATGCGAGGGTTGCCGCAAAACGGAGCGACGGGCAGTGGCTTTTGTGGGCAGCGAGTGCCAATTAGGTTCAGAATGTTCAGACTGAGACAAAAGTGCCGCCGGTGGATGGGTGGATGGCGCATTGTGGATCAGGATACTTTCCGACCTCTTGCACGTCAATTGGCCAGTGCCTTATCGTTTGGTCTTTGTATGGACCGTTTCCCTGCCATGCATCATTGCCCGAATGAACATGCATCACCCTGTCTCATTCGCGAAGTGCCTGGTAGTTAGCTCATGCTCGGCGCTTCATCCGTTCGGATGCCAGGACAGGATCATGCCTCACATCGCTGACATGCTGAATGACGTGCCAAGCTCAGAGCAAAGCTTGGACCACTTGGTGCATGAGATTCAGGGCATGTGTGGTGTCCCTACGGCGCGTGCCTACTCAGGTCAAGCGAGAGGTACGGGAGGCAGCCGCAGCCTTGGCTTCTTTTCAGCCAGCAATTTCCAGCAACTCGTATCCCGAGGCCGCCGATGCAGCGAAAGTCCTCTTCGAGTGCGCGCAAAACAAGGTGTGGGGGAAGCCTTGCATTTGCCAAGTGAGCAGCGCCCAAAACCACTATTGGCCATTTAGCCATGTTAGTAGCTGGTCCGGTTTTACAAAGGTTGTAGATGTTGTAGGAAGTATTAAACCTTTATAACCGTGTTGGTAGAAGCCAAAGTCAGTGGGGTTTGGTCGCCGCTGATGGGATTGCGTGTAGTTGCATGCCCTCGCATATTATGTTTTCAAGTGGCTAGCTTGACAGCTCTTGCAGGATTTGGATCCCTTCCTTGATGATCTCATCAAGGCCATGGTATTGCCAAGGGCAGCCACTCCTCAAAATGGGTTTTGTCAGCGTTTTGCTCGGGCGCAAGGCATTGCCAGCCACACCGGACACATGTTTGTCAGTGAGTTGTTCAAGTGCGTGTGAGTCCCTCCCCGAACTGATTTGGACCGCTGATGAGGCGATGATGGACCAAGAGGTGATTCCCAGCGTGGCGCGGGCTTCAGTTTGGCTGGCCAGGTCTCCTTGTCGCTTATGTGTGCAGAAATCTCCCGAACATGCACGAGGTTTCTTCTTAAGCTTCCCCAAAGACCAGTCTCTTTGAAAACCAAGAGATTTCCAGCAAAAGGTTTCCACTTAGAGGAAGGAGGTCAACCATAGCCTTCCGCAAAGAGCCGCTTCAAGCGACTTACAGAGATGCTTGCCGTTCTTTTTGGCCCTTTTTGGTGTCCGGGTCATCTCTTGTCAATCTTTCTCTGAGAGTGACTGGGCCCGCGTTTGCAACTGCAGCAGTCTCGCTCAGGTGAATCAGTTGTCGGAGATCGTCTTTGTGCAATCTGTGCGTTTCTTACAGCTGCTACGATCTCTGAGAACTTCTCGCTCTTTTCAGTAGCTACAGATTGAAGTGTGTTGGCCACTTCTTTGTTGCTCAAACAGGGTGTGGTTTGTGGTTAGGCTCGAGTGGAGTTGACAATGTGAGGTTGAAACCCCGGCTCTTGCCATCGTGATGCCGCTGATCGTCCGCGGTCTCAAGGATCGAGATGAGAGGACCGGGATGAGAGGATCGTGACGCAATGTTTTCAGGAGGGCTCTTGGAATATGGGTTTGGCTCAAAAATTGGGCCCCAAAAGTGGTTGGTTTCCTTGTGGCCAACCATAAGCAAATTTGTCATGAGTCGGGGATTTGCCAAGATCTTGGGAAAGGACCAAGCGGCGAGCCTTGGTCATCGCGGACAACATGTGCAAGCTGGTCCCAGATGTTACGGAGATCCAGCCATTCCTTCCCACGCCTGGCACCCAAAGGATGGCAGTTAGTAAGGGCCTTGACCAGACAGTTCCTACACGAGTGCTTGATCCAGTGTGAGAGCCATTCACGGCACCACTCAATACAGTTCCCTGCAATCTTCCGTTTGGCCATCCCATTTGAGCAACATGGACCGGGTTGGCCGCGCGGAGGCTCATCCCGTTGGTTGAGAAGGCAACACACAACATCTCGGACCCTGAGGCAGGCGACGGACTTGCAACCTCTGTCGCCGAAGTCCCAAATTTGGGTTTGACCATGGCATGAGGTTGTTTCTTTGTTTGAGAGGTGCGAAGCGTGGCCACTCGCTGCTTCGCCACGTTGCAAGCGGCCGACAAGGTGTGCCCGATATGTGAGGGAGAGGACTCCCACGGCCGTCAGGGCGCGTGTGACATGGCCTCAGCAATCGAAGCAGCCCCTTCAGGCAGATCGGCGAAAGTTCATCAGCAAGGCAGCGGTCAGGGCCCCTGTGCTTTTGCATCGTCTTTCCGAGCGCGGTTCAGAGCGGCAGAAGCGCTTGCGCGTTTTGTGGTTGAACGTCACTGCAGATCCCTCGTGCCTGGTCAACGCTTGGTAGCCCATTTTGATCCATTTTGTGGGAGCTCCTGGGTTCGGCGGTTGGGCGTTGTTTGTTGCGAGCCGCCAACCATAAGGTTCTTGACCTTCTGCAAGAAAAGATCCCAGAAGACAAGCTGGAGCTGGCCTGGCGCATAGCCCATGGATTGTTCTTTGTTTTCTTCGGGGGGGTTCCGGGTTTCAGGCTGCCGGCCAGGCAAGATTTGAGGATGGCCATGACAAAATGTCTTCCCGATAAATCGGCGAAGGCATCGCCTCGGCACCTGATGGCCTCCCAAGGTCAGCGAAATCGTTACCGATTACGTGGCATCATTGTGTGCCTGCATGAGCGTGAGCAACTCAGTTCAAGCTGCATGCAAGAATTGGTGGTGAACATGAGTTTGGCTGACGCATAGGGATTGGCATGCACAGAGGCTTGGAAGTCTTGAATGTCTTAAGAGCAGTGGCAACCGAGGCCTGCCGCAGTTTTGAGCATGCGGAATGGTGGCAATGCATGGCGTTGGGGGCCTCAGGCAAGCAGAGGTCCGCGCGGGAATTCTCTCGCTGTGAGGCCTTACCTCACGCCCTCGATTTTGTCGGAGGAGGAGTGTGAAGACTTGGTGCCGGGAGCTGAAATGCGGAAGTGGCGATAGCCATGCGACCTGGCAGGTTCTTGGTTGTAACAAGCACATTGCCAAGGCCCGACCTCTTAGAAAGCTGCTACGATGCCGCCGAGGGAGAAGATGCCGGCAGCTGAGCCTCGCTGTGCCGAGTTTGGACAAAGCTCCCTTGTATTTCATGATCTCTTAGCAACCGAAGGAATGTTGGCACCAAACCTTAGTCATGGGATTCCAACCCAGGTTGAAGACCTTGAGGAAGAAGGCGCGAGCATTGAGGATCTATGGGGTTGAAGCTGTCTATGCGAGCCCCGGGCAGCTTGAGGGGAACAAAGTTCCCCAACTTTCTCACAAGCACGGCAAGGAAACCCACGAAGCTGTGTTCATGAGCTACATGGCGGTAAGTTTATATCACCCCCAGAGCCCCGGGGTTTCCGGTGGAAGTCCTCAAGCCACTGATTTCCATACTGCGTGCGCTTCCGCACTCTCAGGTGAAGATCTTTGCAACTGCGTCTTCACGCTGGGCTATGGTGTTGGGGCCTCGGGTGAGATGAAGCAAAATCTAACGGAGCGTTTCAGACAAGTGGCCTGTGAGTGGATGCTCAAAGCAACGGGAGGTGGGGCCGAACAGGAACCTCTGCATGGTGAGTGTTGAAACGGGGATATGCACTTGGGGAGTAGCATTTGTTGCCTATTTCAGGACACGCCCTATGCTGCTCTGCTTTCGATTGAAGTGGCGTGAATAGCCTTATGCCATTCCAACGCTTTTTTGTGGCCACATCGTCTTCTTTTCTTCAGGGATCCAGCAATAGCGGGGTTGGACGCCCCACTTGCCCTGCCAATGAATTTAGAAGATTTCACTTGATTCACCGAGGGGGATCTGATTGAGGCTGAGAATATTTATTTGACTCGGCAATCTCAAGCCTTGGGGTTGCTGGCCAACATAGTCAATCATGTCATTCCTTGACGGCAGAGGCTCTCACGCTGCTGAACAACACTAGGCGCTCCCTGCATTCCGCAAGAGAGTTGCATATATATATATATATATATATATATTATATGTGTATATATATATATGTGCACGTGTCTTTTGAGGATACCCTTTTTGGTGTTAATTTGAAATCGAAAAGAAAGGGAAAATAACCAATTTGGGGGGTTCCCAATTTTAAGACGTACCCATATGTGAATGCGAGCGCTCTTGAGCAATCCTCAACTGCTGGTGATACAGTTGGCTGTTAGTCATCCGGATCTTGGCACGGACTGGCGCGACTGCAAACCATGCGCAACACGCTATACAGGAAAGCTGAACCCCACAGCGGGGCTGCGTTTTCCTTGCCGTTGGCAAGGATAGATTTCTGGCGAAAGCGCCAGACTGTGCTTCGGCAGGCTACACCTGAAAAGGGGGCGGTGCTACGGCCTTTGCGGTTGGCCTCTTAGTGGTATCATTTGGCCGCAGGTCAAACAAATACCATCCCTGGTTGTTCCTTCCTGGCCATGGATTGCAGCAGAACTGGTGAAAGTTGTTGGGTCCCACTTTGTCCATTTCATCACGTGACACTTGAGGCCTGTCCACGACATGGGATTTCCAAACTGGATGCGTGTCCGTCTGATTCTGCGGATGAGCTCGGTTCAAGATGCAGGCGGGACGGTGGCCAAGGTCCCAACGACTGTGGGAAGAGCACGCTCCTCAAAGCCATCAACAACGAGCAGGCCCACCTCCAGCGGTTTTTGCTTGATGCATGTGAAGCCGAGCAATAGTGGATGTCCCTTTGAATTAGCGGGCAAGATTTCTGGCATTCCTGTCACCGTTGACTCACCAGTTTAAAGTTCCACCTAGGGCCCTCAACCATCTCAACCCCAAACTGGTTGCTCGCTAGCGTTTTTCGGGCTGTTGAGAGGGGTTCGTCCATTCCCCATGGGAAGCCTCAAATCTTCTGTGCAGTCAGGAGGGTGTGTGTTAAAACTTAAATCAGTCGAGCCCTTGAGTTGGGGTGAGTTTCCTCTGGGTTTCCCTTAAAACCACAGACGGTACCCTCAGGTGGACGGATTCCCGCCCAAGAGCGAGCTGGTCACGGCCTTTGTGGAGCATGGGGTGGGGGAGACAGAGCCGGAGTGCGAGCCGGGCGCCCAGCGGCCGAACCGTTTCGGGGGCCTGTGTCTTGCCGAACGGGGAGGCCAAAACAGGGCCCCCCAGATGTTCGTGACCGACTCTTGCTGGTGGATGTTGTTTAGATTGGGAGGAGGTCCATGCACAAGACTCCCTCACAGGAGGAAACCAACAAAATCAAACTGGGGGCTTGTTGCTGCTAGGTGCCCATTTCTCTGCAGCTCGTGTGTTGGTCGCTTGGGTGTGACGGAAAATGCATGCTGAAGTCCCGACACATCAACTGAAAGCATCTAACTGTGGGTACAGTCCTTTTTCAAACCATAGAAATTCATTTTTTTCGAATGAGATGGAGGCCTGGACTCTTTCAATTGTGCATGCAGCTGATTGTTCTCCGTCGCATTCACTTCAGTTTGAGCCATGCGAGACCCGGTGCGAACCGCGTAGCGACTATCGGCCAAAAAGGTGGACCCCTTTGGAGTACATCTTCGCGGACGAGACCATCCTTGCGATGGGAGTCAAGCAGCTTGGTGCAGAATGGCTCCATGCCCCAATGACCCCGCCAGGATTTGGAGAAGCGGGGTTTACGAGCTCAAAACGTGCATGCATTGCAGGCTTGTGTGCTGCATTATTACGTGGTTTGAAGTACTGCACGGGGTTTTGAGTTTTGAGTGAGCTTTGTCAGGGGGTTTGCCATAGCGCGCCGTTCAAAGTCAATGCGCTTGCGCTCAAATGTTGCCACGCACTGTGGCCGGAGCTGAGGAAGAAGAAGGCACGGTCCCTAGCTCCAGCTGTGCAGTGAAGGCTGCCCTGTGCCCACCATTGAGGTTGTGGCTGCCTTGCGAAGCGTCGGCTTCGATGATCACAAGCTCAAGAGCGAGCGCTCTTCCCAGCAATTTGGGTTCTCAGAAGCCATCTCAAGGACTTTCGCCAGGACATTGGCTAAATATCCACCAAAACCAGGGGTTTGGGATAACTTGCTGGATAATTTCCTGGGAGACGTGGAATGGACGCCGAAGAGTTTGCCTGTGAGCAAGGATCGGTCACCTCTCGGGTGGATGGAAGATGAAGCACGGCGCTCAGATGTGTAGGCATTTTGGCGTCGAGACCTTGGCGAACACATGGCAGTGGTTGCTCTTGGGCGAGGAGTGTCCATTGTGCAACAAGTTGCCGGCTCTCGTTAGCCAAGCAATGGAAGAATTGACATGTTTAGCCAACCTTCAATCATCACAAAAATCGTCAGAGCGACCCCGACCTGCTTGGTAGCAGTTCTGCAGTTGGAATGCAAAATGCGCACATGCAACTCCCTTCACTACAGCCAGGAAAGACCCTCCCCTGCAAACACTGGCTGTGAGTACAAGAAGTTTCCGTGGCAGATGCCAAGGCTCGGTCTGGTTCGGGCCATGCTGATGTGCGCTGACATCCTGCTGCTGGATGAGCCCACAGGACGCCTGGGGGAAAGCTTTGAGGCGTTTGGATCAATTGGCGTGGTGGGTTGCGTGTGGTGTATTGTAGTGCGTTGCGGTGTGTTGTGGTGCTTTATGACCATTTGTTGCCCGGAGCAAATGGCACAGGCACCCAATGTGGCATGGTGTGAGGTGAGTCCTAAACTGGCTTGATTGCTCCAAAACTCCGCACACTGGACCTTTGCACATCCGCCCTTTTAATGCTTTTGGATTCGAGGCCATTTGGATGTAGCGAACGTGGCCTGGCTGGGGGACTACTTGTTGCTTGCCTTGAACTGTGCCATGTGCAATCGGACGCGCACTTGTCAAAGCAGGGTAGTTCGCGGCTCATGATAGACAGAGGGAGAGAGAGAGGGAGAGCTCCCTTTGTACATGCTGATGTTCAAACTAGCTTGGATGCGACGAGATGTTTTTGACATGTGACGTTGCTTGTTGTGATGTGGTTGTAGTTGCAGAGGATTCAGATGGCACTTCTTCCCGAGGCTTAGCCTGAGCCAAGATGCCTCGAGACCCGTCACGACGATTGTCGTCTCACATGACACCTCTTTCCTGGACAAAGTCTGCACTCACGTGATCAACGTGAAGCAGAGAAAGTGAGCGCCTCACATTCGGAGTCTTCAATGCTCGTGGGTTTGCAGATTTTTTCGGCTCTTTGAAGGTCCAGAAACATGGAAGGCTCGTTTCGCGTCGAGGCTGAAGACCTACAAGGGGAACATCACGGACTTTGTGAGGAGGTGTCCCGAGGCCAAGTGTGGTCCTCAAAGATTTAGCGCTGACTGCTTCCGTGATTCTGCTTTCATTTGTGTTTCTGTTTGTGCAAAGGTGAGCAGGAGCGCAGGTGTGCAGGTGTGTGTGTGTGCCTTTGTGTGTGTGTGCTTTTGTCTGTGGGTGTCTTTGTGTGTGTGTGTGTGGTTCTCTCGCTGTAGTCTGCAAGCAGTTTTATGATTTGGGCACATTTCCAGTTTCAACCAACGGGCCCAAGGCTTGTCGAACCGTGTCTTGTGGAGGCTACCCTTTTTTGGTCTCTGGGAAGCCACAAGAGCCGCGCCGTGCCATCCAAGTCCTGTTGGCACCTGGACCATTTGCTCGGTGCGACTTGAGGTCCTACCTCAGCCTGACCAGCGAGAAGCAGCGCTTTGTCCTGCCGGAGCCGGGGATGCTGGAGGCCAGGGACTTCCCTCCGTCCAAACTTCAAAGGATGGGATTGTGTTTTTTTGGCTTGGATTCTTGAACGTCCCTTCTTACCCGTTCTAACGGCGGTGGTGGTGCTGTTGCTGAGGCAAGCGTGGGTCCCTGAGCAATGCACATGTCACTGAGCAGTCAAACGACACCTGTACTTGGGGCAGGGATTTTCATGCACCTCTTGGGGATTTTATCCGCAGGAGTTTTGACCATGGCACTCTTCGGGGTAGGGACGGATATGGGATCCTATCCAGACGGATTTGCGATTGTCTTTCAGCTTTCCTTGAAACCGTGCAAAGTCTGAGTTTGAGACAGAAGCATTTTCATGATTATGTACAGTAAGGGGGATCACACTTACCAGATTGTCATCAGGCATGGCGGATACAGAATCCAATGTCAGTTGGGGACAATGTCGTTCGTTGCTCCTTTGTGTACTTGTTGGACAGGGATGGACCCTTAGTTGGTTCATGCCATACTGGTGTCCTTTCAACACGAGCACAGCGGGTCCCTGGTGTGTCGCCAAATGCCAACTGTTTTCATGTGGTTCCCACGACAATCCATCCAAAAGATAGTTCAGGGGGAGGGGGATTTGATAGCAAATGGTAAACATGGAGAAATGGAGTAAACCCATGCCCTTGATGACCGAAGATTGGCAGTTTCTGGTTTGTTGCCTATCATCTTACGGGTACAAATGGTTCAGCGCAATTTCTATTTTCTGACATGTCCAACACCCATCCAGAAGTTCAGAGCGCTTCCAGCTGAGCGGACCGCAGGGCGTGAAGTCCAAAGGCAAGAAGCTCCTGAAGATGCAGCACGCACGTTTCTGAGCTGACACTGTTGCTTGAAGATGAAGCCACAAAACAGCGGTTGCTTGTATGAGTTTTACTCGTATTCCGAGGTGACCTACACCTACCCCGGCAATGACGCGTGATCGTCTCAAAGCGACAGCATGCTTCATGGAGCTTGCTCCATTTGAGAGCCACGCTGCGAAAGGCCCACGCTGATCAACGTCAGCATCGAGGTGTCGCTTCTGAGTCACACTCCCAGCTGCCGCTGCCCAATCCCAACGTCGCCAGCTTTCGATTTGAGGCCGTGTGGCCGTCATCGGTCCAAACGGTGCTGGCAAGTCCACCATGATCAAGGCTGAGCTCTGAACATGTTGTTTGACAGGATTGTGACAGGAGTCTGCAGTCACCCGAAGGCTTGCTTCAACAAAAGCACCAAAAGGGCCCCAATCTGGGCACGTCCATGTTGAGACGTGTCCAGACTTCGGATCCTTATGTCTCATGGATGGCTTTAAAGGGAAACCTATTATAAACCAAGCAGTTGTGCATCTTCGGCAAGGCACTGGTGGGTGAGTTGCCCATCACTGGCAAGTCCATTGTATGGAAGCATCCCAATGTTGGCAGCTCGAGCTATCGCATGTGGGCAGAGGGGGTGTTGAAGGGACTGCTCATTCATATGACTTGAGGTTAGGATCTCCTACGTTGCTCAGCACGCTTTCCACCATGTGGTGTCGATCTGAGTCGAGCATGTGCAGTGATCCATGCCTACAGCTATACGCCCATCATGGAGCCTTTGAATTGTGAGGAGCAGCACTTGGACAAAACGCCTACGCAGCCAGAGCCTCTTCGAATTCGCATGACAGAGTGCATGAGTCATCCTCATTATCCTTATCCATACACCATCATCGTTGTCATCATCATGATCATCATCGTCATCGTCGTCATTCCCCTCACTGTTCTCGTTTTCCTCCTCCTCCTCCTCCTCCTCATCATAATCGTAATAATAATAATCATCATCATCATCATCATCATCATCATCATCATCATCATCACGGGGCACGATCAGTGATGTTGCAAATGCTGTGCACAAACACAAGTTTTGCATCCCAGCGTACCTTTGGTATTGGGCCCAGGTACTTGCTGTGGCGATTTGCTGGAGGGGAAGACTGTGAAGCTCTCAATCATCGAGCGGAGGACATCGGGCCATGTTCCGGCAGCCAACTTGTGGAACAGGTTTGCCTCAGACGTACCTGCTGTTTTGCCGTTTTGCCAGGAAGTTGTCACAGAGAGGAAAAAGTACTGGTGCGCCCCTCAGACATGAGAGCGGCTGGCCTCGCTGGGAGCTGTACATTGACAGGCTGAACGAAGCTGGTGTGCTGTGCAAGTGCACCAACGAGAAGGCGGGGGAAAGATCTTGGAGGTATCACGTTGAAGCCCGACAAAGACATGTGGTCTGAATTCCGGACTTTCTCTTCCGGTGGTTCTGATCGTGCAAAATCAAGCAAGCGGATTGGAGTAGCCATTGACACACTGCCCATTTGCTTGCAAGCTTCCAGGAGGAGGCCCGCGCAGTCTGCCCAGAGCAAATCCTCGGCAGGAAGAAGCTGCTGCCTTGAGCCTGTGGACATGCAACTTTAGAGCCTCCGGCTCAGTCCGCCGACATTGTCCTCTCCCTTTTCTCCTTCCTCCTCTCTCCCTTGTCTCCCTTGTGTGTTCTGTTGTCCTCTCTCCCTCCCCACCCCCCCCAAGCATCTCTCTCCCCAATCTCCCTCTCTCGTATGTATGTATGCATGTACATATGTATGTATGCATGTTTGTATGTAATGTAAGTAAGTAAGTAAGTAAGTATGTATGCATGCATGTATGTATGTATGTATGTATGTATGTATGTATGTATGTATGTATGTATGTATGTATGTATGTATGTATGTATGTATGTATGTATGTATGTATGTATGTATGTAATGTATGTATGTATGTATGTATGTATGTATGTATGTATGTATGTATGTATGTATGTATGTATGTATGTATGTATGTATGTATGTATGTATGTATGTATGTATGTATGTATGTATGTATGTATGTATGTATGTATGTATGTATGTATGTATGTATGTATGTATGTATGTATGTATGTATGTATGTATGTATGTATGTATGTATGTATGTATGTATGTATGTATGTATGTATGTATGTATGTATGTATGTATGTATGTATGTATGTATGTATGTATGTATGTATGTATGTATGTATGTATGTATGTATGTATGTATGTATGTATGTATGTATGTATGTATGTATGTATGTATGTATGTATGTATGTATGTATGTATGTATGTATGTATGTATGTATGTATGTATGTATGTATGTATGTATGTATGTATGTATGTATGTATGTATGTATGTATGTATGTATGTATGTATGTATGTATGTATGTATGTATGTATGTATGTATGTATGTATGTATGTATGTATGTATGTATGTATGTATGTATGTATGTATGTATGTATGTATGTATGTATGTATGTATGTATGTATGTATGTATGTATGTATGTATGTATGTATGTATGTATGTATGTATGTATGTATGTATGTATGTATGTATGTATGTATGTATGTATGTATGTATGTATGTATGTATGTATGTATGTATGTATGTATGTATGTATGTATGTATGTATGTATGTATGTATGTATGTATGTAATGTATGTATGTATGTATGTATGTATGTATGTATGTATGTATGTATGTATGTATGTATGTATGTATGTATGTATGTATGTATGTATGTATGTATGTATGTATGTATGTATGTATGTATGTATGTATGTATGTATGTATGTATGTAATGTATGTAATGTATGTATGTATGTATGTAATGTATGTATGTATGTATGTATGTATGTATGTATGTATGTATGTATGTATGTATGTATGTATGTATGTATGTATGTATGTATGTATGTAATGTATGTAATGTATGTATGTAATGTATGTATGTATGTATGTATGTATGTATGTATGTATGTATGTATGTATGTATGTATGTATGTATGTATGTATGTATGTATGTATGTATGTAATGTAATGTAATGTAATGTATGTATGTAATGTATGTATGTATGTATGTAATGTATGTATGTATGTATGTATGTATGTATGTATGTATGTATGTATGTATGTAATGTAATGTATGTATGTATGTATGTATGTATGTATGTATGTATGTATGTATGTAATGTATGTATGTATGTATGTATGTAATGTATGTATGTATGTATGTATGTATGTATGTATGTATGTATGTATGTATGTATGTATGTATGTATGTATGTATGTATGTATGTATGTATGTATGTATGTATGTATGTATGTATGTATGTATGTATGTAATGTAATGTAATGTAATGTAATGTAATGTATGTATGTATGTATGTATGTATGTATGTATGTATGTATGTATGTATGTATGTATGTATGTATGTATGTATGTATGTATGTATGTATGGTATGGTATGGTATGGTATGGTATGGTATGTATGTATGTATGTATGTATGTATGTATGTATGTATGTATGTATGTATGTATGTATGTATGTATGTATGTATGTATGTATGTATGTATGTATGTATGTATGTATGTATGTATGTATGTATGTATGTATGTATGTATGTATGTATGTATGTATGTATGTATGTATGTATGTATGTATGTATGTATGTATGTATGTATGGTATGTATGTATGTATGTATGTATGTATGTATGTATGTATGTATGTATGTATGTATGTATGTATGTATGTATGTATGTATGTATGTATGTATGTATGTATGTATGTATGTATGTATGTATGTATGTATGTATGTATGTATATGTATGTATGTGTATGTATGTATGTATGTATGTATGTATGTATGTATGTATGTATGTATGTATGTATGTATGTATGTATGTATGTATGTATGTATGTATGTATGTATGTATGTATGTATGTAATGTATGTAATGTATGTAATGTATGTATGTATGTATGTAATGTCATGTAATGTCATGTCATGTCATGTAATGTAATGTAATGTAATGTAATGTAATGTATGTAATGTAATGTAATGTAATGTATGCATGTATGTATCCTTGCACTTCCCCTTTGCTCCCCAGTATTTTCCGCAAAAAGCACGGTTTTCCTGCGTTTTCGCAAAGAGGACGACCAAAAACATTGAGTTTTTCCAGATTTTCGGCAAAAGGATGCAAGAAGCCCAAGCCAGCCAAAAAAAGCCGGCAGGGGGAATCGAGCCTGGGACCCCTGTTTTGCGACACCGGCTCCCCGAAGACTACGTTTAGTGGAACGTCATCAAATTGCCGCGCGGTACGCGGGGGAGGGGGGGGGGGTGGCGACCGAAAAACCATGCGTATTTGACGTGGGGACTAAGGGGGGGGTTATCCTCTATCCTCTCTTAGGTATCCAATAGTCCTCTCTTAGGTATCCGACACGCCGAACAATGTCGGCGGACATGGGGGCGCGCCACGCACCTTAGCCACTTAGTCCCAAAAAATTGAGACCCCCCGTTTCAGAAGCCAGTGAAAGCAGAGATCGAGAGCTGGACACGCTCCCGAGCAATCGCTTGAGAGTGTAACTGGATGCCCGAATCAACCTCTTTGTCGGCTGCGAAGAGAAGGGCCCACTCCCATGAGGTCGAAATCAAAGGCAAACGCAGCAGATGAGAAGTATGAGTACTCGGTGGTGAACTTAGACCGGGCCAGCAACATTGGCCATGTTGCCTTGTTGCTGGTGGATGTGTGTTTTCCCCCGTTTCCAATAGACGGCCCTCGAGTTGGACACGCATTTCCACACCAAACTCCTGCGAGCTAGTCCAAGGGGGTTTAGGGCTGCGAGTGTGGCCAAACTTAGTCCGGGCTAGAGCACAAGTCATTTCAAGGGTATGTCACCCGTTTGGCAGGTGAAGTGGCACGGCATCACAGAGGCCGCCTCGTGGGTGCTGCCCTCAGGCTAAAAGGGACTTGGGAATGTGTTAAGCCCGGACCATCAGTGGACTATGATTTTAGGAAGATGCTTCTTTTAAAACCAACTTCCGCCCCAAAACAGGGTTACATCTTTTTCCCATGCCACTGCGCTTCTGAGGTAGCTCACCCCAAAATATAGCCTGGCTTCATGTGGGTGCCCTTGGAAAATGCAGCAATCAAAGGTCCTCTTTTTTCACCTGTCGAGCCCCAACCAGCTCAACGGCAAAATGAATGGAACGGGCTGTGTCTTGGATAATGCCTCGTTTTAACGCAACAAAGACACAGATGCGCCATTGCCTCCCTTTCGCTCAATTTTCAGGAGGAATAATGTGAATTCCCGTCGATCTCAAGATTCAGTTGTGCCCCGAATCTCGTAAGCCACTACGCTTCAAACCCCACCAGTCAGCCGGTAAATTCCAAGATCCTGTCACCGCGTACGGCTCTCCGGTTGGGTTGAAGGGAGCCTGATCTCGACCTCAGCGAGCGCGGTGGTTTTTGCTCGGGTTTGGTCCAACTGCCTTCGTGACCTGGCCACATTAGGGGTTCATAGGGATTGTCAACAAGCATTTTGAAGGCTTAAGAATGGCTCCATTCAACACATTCTTCGAGAACGACTAATTCGGCACATGATGAAGACACCCCTCTGACAAAAGACGCCCGGCTTTCCCAGCCGGCCAATACTACTTTACAGGCACCCGCGAGGTTTGGCCAGACCCCACTTAAATTGTTTGAGGCAGCTCCCAAAACCCCTTCTCATTAAACACGTCCCTCTCCGGCCCAAAATCATACAAGATATTGATATTCTCAAGGCTGGTGCCAATACTTTTGCCACGCAAGCTTCTTTCATAGTCTCGAGGGTTGCCATTCCAGAAATTCAACAAAGGCTGGCCGGAAACAGCACAGTCATTATTACAGCTTTTTTCTTTTTTACAAAACAAGGTTTGACAAGCTCGGAAAGGGTACCCCCTTCAATGCTGTCCCCCCAAACAACACAACCCCCCCTCTGATTAATCCTGGCCCTCTCCAGCAGTGGAAACATTAAAGAAAGCACAATTCCTTCTACTTTCCTATTGAGCGGCGACTCCTTTCTGCCGGTGAACAACGACACGAGGTGCCGCGTGAAGTCTTGGTGGAGATGGGCCACCTGCCTCTCGTCCAGCGCGAGGCGGAGCTTTCCTCTTGGGATGTGTGGGGCGTTCCGCGCAGCTTAAAAGGAGTGGCTAGCTGCCGCAAGGGTATGGCGCAAAGTAGGGAGTCGGATCCCAGATTCCCAACAGAAAGGGGGTGCACCAGAAAGACACCCACAGAATGCCTGTACCTGGAAACACATGTGTGTTTTGCTCAGAGGCAGTAGCAGGATTGAAACGCTGACTGCGATATTTGATGAGCAAGCACAATACTTTCAGCAAGAAAGGGATGCAAAGCCTACTCCCGTCATTTGGAGCTCATTTTGGGAATGCTCCGACCTGCACATGGGACTCCTGCTGGTAAAGGTGCAGCTGTTGGGAGGTGCCCTGACAATGCTTCCCAACATATTTGGACAATAGATTCTGGCCGCGGCTTGCGTCCTAAGCCCTCAGACCGGCAAGCCTGAGCATCTTGAGATCTTGGAGAACAAGCTTGGATAATATATGTGTGTGTGTGGTCGTGTGTTTTCAGGGTACCCTTTCCTGCTTGGCTTGAAGGTAAAACAACAGGATGTTCAGCATGCTCCCTGTTGTTTTGCAAACAGTCAAAACCATTTTGTCACAGGATGACACTGACACGAGTTCAGAGAACGAACGCTGCCTTGCAAACTTCCCCTTTCTGTCAAACTCGTCTCACTTCTTCCCACTCGTTTCCCGAGAGCTAACGTCAGGATGAGAAGCAAGCTGCGGCGCACGGTCTTGTGACGCGGCCCCTCACACAGCCCCAGGCGCAACCGAATGAGTGGAGTGCATTTGTTTTGGAATACCAAACTGGAGTTGTGATGTTTACGACACGTTTGAACATCAAGCTACGGGTATGGACATCCACATGCAGCCAACACATTTTTCACCAAGCATCCGAGTGGAACATCCGGGGGGGGGGGGGGACATGCAAACATTGCGATGGATGTCGCCGTCAGGTGGAAGAACACCTGGCTGGCTTTGGCCTGGATTCCAACCTGGCATCTCACACCAGGAGCTTTCGAAAATCCCGCTAGACCCCCGAAACCCCCGAAGGTGTGGGACGTTTGATCGAATACAAGGAAAGCCAAGCGTTGAAGATGTCTTGCGGGCTTCAACTGACGCTCCCGCAGGATCGGCATCTTGTCCGGCGGCCAGAAGGTGAAGGTTGTTCTTGGGGCCGCCATGTGGCCTTGGGCTAAGACGCCCGTCGCCTTGGGCGATGATTGAGTGCGAGCGCCTAGGCTGTCTCCTCACCTTCTCATCCTGGACGAGTCTGCGCCTCAAATGGTGTAAGACGAATCTCAGATGTTCATTTTATGTGTTGCAATCAATTGGCTGGGTGTACAGTTTGTGATCTATGCCCGTGTCTATGTGTCTGTGTCTCTGTCTCAGTCTCTCTTTGTGTCTGTGATTGTGTTTGTGCCTGTGTCTGTGCCTGTGTCTGTGCAGAGGCGTCTGAGTGTTTGTGACTAGATATATGTCAATGTAATAGTGCCACTCCACAGGATGCACGGCCATGTCAGATCATATTCCTCCCTGGTCAATGTGCAGTTTCGGATACGTCCGGTACAAACTGGCAATGTCGGCAAGGTCTGCGAGAGGAGCTGCATCCCTTGTAGTATCACAAACAGTCAATCAATGCCCAACTTAGTACTACTGCTGCTGCTGCTACTGCTACTGCTAATGCTGCTGCTGCTGCTGTTGCTGCTGCTACTGGCACTGCTACTGCTATTGCTCCTTCTACTAGTCCTTTCTAACTAGTACCATTAGTACTACTAGTTCCGCAAGTACTAGTAATAGTCTTACTAGTACTAGTACTAGTGTTACTAAGTACTCCCAGAAGAACTGCTAGCAATAGTACTAGAATAGTACTACTAGTATAACGAACCCGACCCTCCCCCCCGCACACGTGCATGCATGCCCTGTCATGATAAGCACACCTGCTCAGCTAAAGCGCAATCGCTCAGCACTGCACACACACACACATGTACACACACACACCTGCAAAGTGATCAGTACACTGTCAGTACACCGTCTCCAGAGCATCCGCTCAGCACTGCACACACACCTCTACCTGCCAAATGATAAGCGCACATGCTCAAGCGCGCCCGCTCAGCACTGCCAAACGATAAGCTCACCCCCTCAAGAGCATTTCCTCGGCTCTGCGCATGCCGTCTGCTGCGCTGGCTTCTTGACTGACCTACTTGGGGCCCCCCAAAAAGCAGCATGTTGTGCTTCGGGGATGTCTTGGGGGGGGGTGGAAACAAGATTGCGCACATGTTAGTGCTAGTACAGCGCTACTCTGGAAGTACTACTAGTATTTCAACTACTGCCAAGTACTAGTACTTTGCCTTGCTGTTGTTGCTGTTGCGGCTACTGCTCTTGCTTTCACTGTTGTGATGCCGTGGCAGTGCATTGAAGGCTGACTTTTCTGCGACCGTCACTCGGGGAACTAGGCCCACCAACTACCTGGACCGAGACTCTTTGGGTGCCCTGGCTGCCGGGCTCAAGGACTTCGGGGGTGGGGCCGGGGCCTCAGGCCTCCAGGCCTCCAGGCCTCCAGGCCTCAAGGCCGCAAGGATGGAGAGTTCTGAGCCAAGGATGGAGAGCAGCTTGCACAGTTTGGAATGTGCAATCTGTATGCTGTTCTAAGAGTAGGATGCGCAGCAAGGCCCCTTGACGCGCTTAATGCAACTTCTTTGTATTTGTCAACTTTGGATGATATGTACCGATCCTCCGCTTTCGGGTGAGTGATGTGTTCTGACCTCGGTACAGTCCGTGCGTCAGTCTGAGGTCATCGTCATATCTCACAACCGGGAGCTGGGGGCACAGATGCAAACCCTGTCCCTATCAGTGAAGTAGGAAAGACTTCCAAATGCCGAGTGATGAAATCAGGGTGGCCGGAATCCGAATTTGTGAAGTGCAGATTGCAGTTTGCCCTCTTTGGAGCGAGGTTTTGCCATGCTGTTTGTGATGAGCGGTGGATTATGGATGCCAACTCCTCAGTTTCGTGTGCCTCGACTCTGGGATATATCGCTGGTGCAGCCGGAACAACACCGCTTTACTTGACCTGAGTCTTGCTCAGGCTGGGAGACTCAGCAGAGAGGGAGAATCCAGCAAGGCTGATGTGGCGTGTGGCACCCTAGAATCCAAGACAATATGCAATCAGCAAGGGCCAAACTCAATGCCCATGGATTCAACAACACAGGCACTTGGAGCAAAGGCACATTCACCCAGTGTTGTCGAAGCATCACGAGCTCGGCTTATTCCCAGCATGCTGGGCAATTGTGCCTTATTTGGCTGCGGCTCAAACGGCGAATGTGAGTTTGAGCAGCGGGGAATGTGTCATATTCAGGGACCTCACTGTATTTTAGTCAATCAAACAAGGAAAGCAGTCATTGGGGGGTTATAGTGATGGTCATCAACCAGTTGGTAAGGACCCTCATCAGCAACTTGGACGCGGGGGGTGCACGGATTCTGAACCACTGATGGTGAAAGAAAGCCTTAACCAATACGTGTGTGTGTGCTTAAAGGGAAACTGCGGCGAACACCCGCATGATTGGGGTGCCCATTGACACACACACACACACATATTGTAGCCGAGCCGCTCTCGCAATCTCACCGGAGCCACGGGAAGCGGCAATCCAGCTGAGGCTGCAGGGGAAGTTCCTGGCGGATGAGTGAGCGGAGGGTGTGGGAGAGGAGTCACTGCACGAAGTCAGGTCTCAATTAAGCATTTTCAATCGACCTCACAGCGATTGGCGCTCAATTTGAGTCTTTCATGTTTGGCTGAAATTGTGGCTGGTGTTTCTGCGGCTTGCTTTTTAAGCCGGCAAGCAGAGGACCCCTAATGTTGCAAAACCTACTTGAGTATGATCCGTTGAAATTCAAACCCCACTCAGATGTGTGGCTGCTGAGGGAAAGGGAGCGAAGCGGCAAGCGAACAAATAGTGGATCAGACTTTTGAGATCTCTCCAATCTCAAGACGGGGCTGGCATTGTGATGGAAACTGAGCAGGTACACAGATGAGTTCGGGAATGTCCACAAAATCAAGAAGCAGAACCACACCGACAAGGAGTAATGCACGAGTGTTTCGCTTTCAGCGCATCTTGAGAGTTTGCAGGAGCTTAAGAAGATAAAGCGGCAGAAGGAGCTTGCTCGAAAGCGTGGCGATGTTCCTTGGACGAAGCCTGGTGATGTACTGCATATGCATGCGCGTTTTTGTTGAGGGTACCCATTTCAAGGTTGGTTTACTGGGAAGCCAAAAAGAAGGCTGCCTTTGCGTTTGGCCTCCCCTGTTTTGAGACATACCCGTGTATTCCCTCCTCACATTTGCCATTCTGGCCTAGTTGTGGCTTCGAACGCTCAAGGTATTCGTCGAGGACGAAGACGAATGGTTGCGAACTAAGACCAAGTGGTGAACCCGCGTTTGTGCAAGCGAAAGACTTGGGAAGCATAGCGGGTTTCAGACGTGGAGAGGTCTGGAATTTGACAGCACTTATCGCAATTGTCTCGGACAATTCGATTCACCACAATCTCTCGGCATGACAATGAAACACTCACCACATCCTCAAAAGGAAACATAACTCGAAGGTCAATTGACACTTGCGAGTGCAAAGGAGTATGGGACTGGAATTTTCATCAGGTGGGAGAAGCTCCAGGAGGAGGTCTCCGCACCCAAGCTGAAAGCTGAGACCCATGCCAGATGAGCCTCTCGAGAGTCCATCGGACCGGACTTTTACGCAAGTCTAAGCCCCATGTGGGATTGTCAACTTGCACTCAACATTGTTGGTTGTTTTGGCTTCCCTTTGAACCACCCCACCCATTCGATCTCGAGGGTTCTGAGTGCCAATTCTTGGTTTGTGGAGCGAGATGCTTTAAAATGAGCATGAGGGCGCATTTGCTATCTAGCTGTGTTCTAGGCTTTGTCCCGGACGCCACACAACTGGTTCTGATAAGTCATGAATGAAGTGTGGCGGCAGGACTTCAGTTTACCTCACAACAATGTGGGGAGTACTCAAGCATGATAAGAATGCATGATTTCCGCGGGTCCTTTGACAGAGTGTTTGTGGCCTTGTGTTGCTACGCCCTGTTCGTCAGTACCTTGCATCAGAAACACATGCAGCTCCTGCAGGTGAGACACCGCAAACCTAAGAAGCCCCGTCAGCGGTCTGCAGAACAGTCTAACCCATGCACTCCATGCTATGCCAAATGCCTAAACTGGTTTCCACCAACCTCGCGACGAGCCGCTTTGGGTCCCGAGGCCAGAGAGCGCACAGAGCACGTAGGAGGACAGGTGGTTAGAGGGGTTGGATGACCTCTCCGGGATGGTGAACCAGCTGATTATTCCGTTTTTCTTTCAGGGCACCCTTTTCAGGGAGGGAAACCACAGGGAAGCCCATCGTTTTTGGGTCCCCCATTTTGACATACGCACACAGATTTGTTACAGGGTTTTGCTTAGCACGCCAGGTATCAGAGCACTGTGAAATGCAGGTGTCGCTTTTTGAGACTTCGGGGAATTTCAAGAACTGTCGTTGCTTGTTTGGAAGAGACCGGCTGCAATTTGAATGCCCCAACCATGCCTGTAACGGATTGCTACACCGATCGTCCTTGTGAAGGCTGACCAATGAGTACAAAAGGTTTGTGTCTTTTTACCCCTGGTCCCTTTGAGTTGCCATTAACTGTTTTTTCAGGGCTTTTGGCCACAGGAGAAAGATACCTGGCAATGATTCTCTGACAGAATGTCAGCCATGAAGCGAGTGGCTGTTGCTGGCAGGAGCAGCGCGTGTGTTTGCGAGGGAGCGCTCCCCCGCGAACATGGATGCACGGCACAGTGTGGCAGAACGCGCTTGAATCGATACCCGGGCTCATTGTGTGCTGTCATTAGGTGCAACCTTTGCCTTTTGGAATGATCAGTGCCCCGGTCAAGGGCGAGTTGCTGCACTGATGCTTGTCTGAAGAGACTCTGTGTCCGGATGTGTTTATATCTCTCGATGCAAGGGCTTTCTCGCAGCCGTGCGCCTTTGCGCATATTTTAAGTAAATCTCTTGGTGTGCTAGAAAAAAGCTTGGAGCAGGTGTCGTGCACCGCACTCACATCTTTTGATTGCATTGCCTTGGGTCATTCTCCAGTCTTGTGATCCCGTGACCTCTCAGTCATTCTCACCACATCTTCCCTGGCTCTGAACCCTCGTGAGCTGTGCCACTCGGGCGGGCTTTTGGATGTGTATGAGACGGCAACATCAGACAATTGCAGCCTTATTCGGAATATTGAGGATGCTTTCTGTTTGACACTTTCAGTGCCATTGGCGGTTTCTTGACTGATCAGCATGGGGGCAGTAGACATGTAGCCGGTGGATGCCGTGGCAGTGCACTCAGAGTGCGCTCGTGAAGCTCCAAGATTTCACTGGCAAGGCTTTAAATGTCAAGGAAAGCGGACCAGAACGAAGAGCCCTGTCAACACGAGTGCAGTAGGCAGAGCGATAGGCATCAGCCCTCTTAGAAGGCAACATGGGGATATTTCACGCTATGTCAAATGTACTTGCCCGCCCGCAATGGCTCTTGAATTTACAGAATGCATGGGATGAAGCTGGATTCACACTGGCAAACATGCTGAAATCCAAGGCCCACATGCGGCGGCTGTGGGTGCCGCATCCAGACCTCGCAGGGGCCCTGACTAAAAAGGCTTGGGGTGAAATGGCTACGTGATAAACTTACCGCTGTGGCGCAACACCTGGCATCGATTCTTAATTTGTTGTCTGAGTCTAAAGAAAGAGAAGGCCAACACCGGTTGGGTCGTCGATACAGTCAGTAAAGTCGTTGTACGCTCAAACTAGGGCCCTTGAGCTGGGTTTCCGGAATGAAAGCATGGCTTTGCGCATGGTTGGGAAGCCAGGGTTAGTCGCGAACCTCTCAGAAGCTGAACGCATTTGGGCGTTCACCAGTGCTGGAGCCCTGCCTCAGCAATCGGAAAGGCTCAGGCTAGGTTGACTAGGAGGCAACCAAAGTGACGCTAGGGTGTTCGGGACATCCATTTCGGACAGACTCTTTGCTGATGCTAGAGTTAGACTACATCGGATTTCCGCGATGTTGGAAGTGAACGGCGCACGAAGCGTCGCCTCTGTGCAATACAGACATGCCGTCCTGGTACCTAGGTTTGGGCGCCCTGCTGGCTTCATGACACCATTGATGGCATCGCCACGTTTCTCCCTCAGAGCCTTGCAATCTCGCCTGGCTTTCCTCAAACGCCTGGTTTATCGTTGTGTTCTGTCAAGAAGCAGCCAGGAAGGGCTCCAATCAACTCCCCAATTTTCAGTCTTGCTCCAATGAAGCAGCTGTTCTGCAAAATTAGAGGCAACACTGGCAAACCATGGTTGAAAGGGCTGCTTTGTGACCAGCCGTCCATGCCTTTGGGAATGTGCAGTCAACCTTTTCCTCAGGACTTTGCTTCCTTTAACGCGAACCATTACCTTTACTTTGAAGTTAACCATCATCATTCCTTTGAATCGAACAATTTTTATGACAAGATGTTGACTCATGGCACTGCTGGATCTTTGTCATCAAGAAATCGAAAAGGGCTTAGCACGTTGCAGACCGCGGAATGCCCTGCCTGCGCACGGGGCCCCTCCAATAGTTTGTTTGGCTTGAGAGTTTTTCTCACTGGAAGTCCCTGTCCTGACAAATCCATTGTTTGGGTGAATCAGTTCCGTGGACAAGGGATGGACGTTCACATTTCCACCATTGAGTTTGGCAGAAGCGAGAGCTTGCGGGATTAATCGATGGATGCCAGGAAAGGGATAAACACGTTTAAACATCAAGCCGTTTAAACATTAAACGTTTAAACACGTTTACAGGCCCTCCCTTAAAGTCGTTTAAACGTTTAAACATCCTCCCAACCGGACGACTTTTGGACATGGTTTGATAAGTCCATACCGCCAGCGGTACCGGATTTTGCATTAAGAACCAGCCAGCTACCAAAAACAAAGTCGATGCAAATCCTGCCCCTGCCCCCAAGTTCAGTGTGGTCGTTAAAGGACTTCAGAAGCCCAGATGGCCAATCATATATTGCCCCGTATAGAGAAGTTATCAGCGAGCCAGCCACAACAACAAGACATATTTTGGCTGGGGCGGCCGTGTTTATCTAAGCTAGTGCCAGTGTACTGTGTACTGTTTTGAAGCACATTTTGGCGTTTAAGCAGGCCGCTCAAGCATGTTAAAAGGATGCTTAAACGATTTTGAAACGGTGGGGGTGGGTGACATCGTTTAGGCGGACATGTCAAGCAGGGTCGCTGTCAGGTTCGCGAACCCCTCTGAGGTCATCATCGTAGATGATGACGCCGTTCTACGCAGTTCTTGTTTGTTCTACTCAAGAACCGTACACGAAATCTGCAATCCTGGGATCTTTATTCAGTCATTCCTAATCTTTTGCCAAAGCTAGCACCAGCCTCAGAACAGCGCCGGTTCGCTGCAGGTATTCCCCAGGGCTCGCGAGAAGCTTGTTATCAAGGAACACATTCTGAAATATACGACTGGGACGACAAACAAAACGATACTTTAATTGGAACAAAACACATTGATCCAACAACAATATCAAATAGGAGTAACGTTAATCATATTTGAACCGAACTTCGCCGCCCGTTGTAGGGTGTTGGTTGCAAGTCAGAGATAGTAGCTAAGCATGCCACAGTCAGCGTGGATTCAGGTTTGGTACTGAAGAGGGTGAGGCTGGCTGAGGGGAGATGGAATGGCATGGGCGAGGCATGGCTTAGAGCGGCTATGTTGCACTCCAGGCACGCGTTAAGTTGTAGTCCATTATAATCACGTCATCAGAACCATAGGAGTTATTCCTGCAGACCAAGTGTGGTTTTCCTTGCCAAGAGTTGCTTGTACCTCAAGAGCGGTTGCTGACTGCTTCATTTCAACTGGCTGTCGATTCCAGCTCAGATTTAAGGCTGGAGCATGCTGTTGTCATGTCAATGTCACAATACGCATGCCTTGCCACATCTAATGCACAAAGCCTCATGCAATGAATTGTGCACGTACAGCTGGGACCATCCCGCTAGTGACATCCCACTCACTGAGATGATGCACAATTCAGGACCCCGAACCGGGTTCGAATAACACGTTCCAGCTCACACCAAACGACAATCATGTGAATCATGTGTGTGTGTGTGTGTGTTTAAACCACGCTCTTTCCTCCGTCAGATTGTGGGAACGTTTCGGATTCCAAAAAACAGTTGTCACCACAGATCTCCATAGATCTCATAGACCTGCTGACCAGGGTATTGGTTTTGGGTAGCTATCGGTTTTGCAGGTTCATGGGTATCAGTTTTGAGTAAAATCATTTGTTCTCCTAGCATTCGTGAAGACCAACTTCCTCTAGACAGCCCAGGTGCCATGTCTGTGGGGAGAGGTGTCTGACGGACTCATCGCATCCGAAGGCTGTGGAGGTCGCCGCCGGGATCATCAGCGGGTTGGAAGAAGTTCACCAGCAGCAGGTCGGAGTGTTCGACCCGTTTGCAGAAATTCAGAAGGAAAATGCAGCGGTTTCCTTGCAGAAGAGATCTTGTTTGGATGATTCCTTTCAGAAAGTTCGGAACTGCGCTTCTTACACTTGGCTGAGCACAGGTGGTGGGTTTGGACGATGTGTGCTGCCTCGACACGGTAACCAAAGCTGCCTTGCTTCATACAATCCGAGCCAATGCCTCGGATTTCTGAGAGATCGGGAGAGGTGAGAAGGACGATGCATGGGAACGGACACAAATGCGCCACACCTTGTTGGGAGGGCTGTGGCCGCCGCCTGCGGGCATTTGGCACCTGCGGGATGTTAGAGTCTTTGGGGCTCATGGCGCCAATTTGGCCGCGCACAAGGCATCGACCCCAGAACCGGGGCCAAGTGGCAGCCGGGGCTTTGCCTTCGTTTTTTTTTTTTCCCCCCGCCCCCTAAGCGTCGCCTTGGAGATTTGTTTCAGATCACAGCTCTCGAGTTTCGCGAAGGCCCGATTCAACAAGCAGTCGGTGTACACCTGGGTCTCCCGCATTTTGCTGGCGGTGAACCCCTTCCAGGCGGGCTGAAGAGAGCCATCACCTTTCTGTGAATCAACAAACACGGCGCCTGGCTGAGGGTCAAAAGGATGGGGAGATAAGAAGAGATAACGATCGAGCTTTCAGTTTTTTTTGACAGAGTAAGGGATTCTATGCAGGCAAGGAAGTTTTTGACCATGACACACACACACACACAGACACACGCAAGCGTCAACAGCATCGGCAACTCGTTGGTGTTCTTTTGACGGCCACCAACAGGCGGTCGCGCATTTGGAGAACTTGCCCATGGCGTATACTGGGTCCCTTTCAGTGCACATTTTGAAGGGTTCTCAAAACTCCTTGGTGAGGTAGTGTCCCTTTAAACCACCTTGTAACATGGTATTCTGGAGAGTATCACTTAATAGACGCAGGAATACATTGACGCAGCCCAGCCCTCGGTTTGTCTTGCAGGTCTTGCCGCTGTACTCCTCGGAAATGCTGGACAAGTACAGGCAAGTACATGACCAATGTGCAGTTTCGCAGGATAGGAGCGTCAGATAATAGCTTGTTAACTGTTAGCTTGCTTACATTTTCTGCTCTTGAAGCCAGTCAAAAAAGTGGATCGAGTTTCGGATGAAAGCACAGTCATGGCACGGTCAGAGCATCAGCTCAGTTTGGAGTCCAAGATGTTGCAACCGGCTTTGTTCGAACATCGTGCCAAAATGTCTAGCCGCGGTTAGTTGTGTCATGTACAGATCCCGTGAGCAAGTCTATCGCATCAGCACTGCGAACTTGCGATCTTACAGCGTTTGGAAGTACACCAGTTCGGTACTGCAATGCATTGTGCAGATTTGCACGCTTGGGACGCTTGGTGGGATGCATTCCTTGCAAAGGCTGCCTTCTTGTGTTGCATTCGAGATTCTCTCCAGACACAAACTCAGACGCAATCGTGTCCTGGCCACAATTATGCCCAGGTTTGCGAAGGAGGCTCATGCCTATCACTCAGTCAGTTTTTGCCGCCATCCCGAGCTGTTTGGTTTCTTGGATCAGCTGGCAGTGGGCTTCAAGTGCCTTTGTTTTGCAATGTGTCGGACGACAAGCCTGTTCCACTCTATAGGGCATATGCACCAAGCTACCTTGTCAATTTGCACCAGCATGACTTCATGAGCTTGTCTCAGGCTCTTCCGCCGCACATCTTTTCCATTGCCGCCGATTCCGTGCCACAGCCTCAACTGTTGGGATTTGTACACCCTTTGGTGCAATTTTAGGCAGCGAGTGTTGGAAGAGCTGCAGATTACCATGTGGTTCCCTCAGGTCAAATCTACAGACGTCTTCACGAGACCAGGCCTTGAAATTTGGCCTCGTGTGCTCGGAACCTCGCAGGAGTTGTGGCCAATCCTGAGACCAACCCGGCAATTTTCATGGGTAAATATCCTTCTTTGTGGACTTGGTATTCATTTTGTTCTTTGCGACTTTTTTGCGTTCATCGTTCTCCTCTTGGCTGGCCCTTCTGTTGATGTGCAGAACCTGAGCACAGGAGTTCCCAAACCAATCCTGAAGCCACCAGACAAGAGGACGAGTTGCAACGGAGATGTGTGGCTTGCTTAGCAAGGCCATAGTCATCAACGGAGAGCCACGGCCTGAGTGAAGCGCGGTACGAGTTTGATTTCAGGACGCTGATTGTGGGAAGTCATCTCCAAATGGGGCAACCAATCAGCGACACATGAACCGGGGCGAGGTCTGGGGCAGGCAAGACGGAGTCTGCCAAGCTGATCATGTCCTTCATCGCAGAGGAGAGCAGCTGTCAGCTGAGGGTCTCTTGTGATGTTGGCAAGCTTCATGGCCCATAGTCGTACAGTCGGAGTTAACATGTCGCTCGCGGCAGGCCACAAAGCCGGATGGCGCAGAGCAAGGAACCCAGAAGATAGAACTAATTGTGTAACGGCCCCCAACAGGATGGCCCGCCTTTGGACTCGGTGATCAGAGAGTGGCCATGAGGCCGTCACAAAGCATGCAGGACAAGGCTCGAGTCGTAGCCCTGTTGCAACCATGCCGCCAGTCTTTTTGGCGGCCAAAAGATGCCAAAGATGCCAGGTGTTGCGAACGAATCCCATCATGGAAGCCTTTGGAAATGTCGGGGCCTCGAGACTTTCCCGTGGGCACAGCACAGGAGGCAGAGACACATGCAATCCACTCGCGCGCGGATGGCTTCGTTCCGCGAAAGCAGGCCATGACCGTCCGCAACAACAACTCCTCCAGGCCGAGATTTGGAGGGGTGCTGGCGGGTTGGAACCTTGCTGCTGAGGTTTGTGAAGTGGTTGAGCTTCTTCGCGCTGGACGGCAGGCTGATGGGGCAGCGCTCCCAAAACCCGCGGCAACGTTTGAAAGGGGCACAGCCACTTTGGTCGTTTGGAGAGGCCCTGCTTGACTTGTTTTTTGCTCTGTGGGTTGTTACTCAGGTGCGAGGTGCAGCAGTACCTGCTCGAGGTGTGCAGAAGTGAGCACGCAGGGGCGCTTCACAAAATGGCGCGCAGGACACCCGCGTGTGCAGCGTGGCACGGGGCGAGCGCTCCTATCACATCTTCTTCCAGGTTCTGCAGGCAGGGCTTTTCAGCTGACAGACACGCAAAATGGGTGTCTCAATTTGGGCAAAGAGTCGTCGATGTTGTGCTTGCAGCGTTTGACTGGCGCATGCTTGTTGAAAATAGCTTGCCGCTCGAGGCAAGACAGTCGTCGAGGGCCCAACGAATCCATGGCATGGCGATATGCGGGAGGCACTCACGACTGAGGCCGCTGTTGAAGGAGTTGGCATTGGATGGGCCCGAGTGTCGAAGCCTAAGTGCAACTTCCAATCCTGTGAAATGGGCCAGTTGCAAACTTCCCGAAGCTCCAGACTCCTTGCACCATCCTTCCAAAAGCGGATGCCAGAGGGGTGCCTAGCCAGCTGCCAGTGTCATAAGGGCTGAAGGGGTCCTGCCACGGTCCTGCTGCTTATGTGGTCAAAACACCTCTTTACTTGAAATTGGTGAGATTATGAACCCTCTACGGTTTACACAACCATTTGAGAAGCATTCTTAAGAAAACCATGACCATGAGCGGGAGTTTTGACCATGTCATGCCTCTTGTGCCGTGCCCAGGCTACTCCTACACGAAAGCCGGACAGCTGGCGCGGGCCGCAAGCGTAGCTCTTTTTTGTTTGTTGGACCCTGCCAAATGGGTCTGCCTTTTTTGAAGGTTACCCCTTGTTTGGTGGTTTTAAAGGCAGACCAACAGGAAAACCATCATTTTGGGGGGTTCTTTACAAAAAGACACACCCAAATGGATATGAGTTGGGCTGTCCGGATGCATTTTGAGAAATGGGTAGCCAAAGTACGAGGGCCTCATGGTTGGTCTCCCAAACGGGGATCCTTTTTTCACCCTTTAGGGGTACCCTCCAAACAGCAGACCCAAATTCGTGTCCCCAATCGTTTCAGACGGCGCCTGGCGTGGACGACGGGCAAGCCTTTGAGGAGCTTCAGGAGGCCGGGGCTATGAATTTCGCACCTCGCAAATGATGTGTCAAACATCTGTGCGTTTCTTTTGATTTTGCGAACCAAGCAGCAAAAGAGGGGTACAGAGCCTCAAAGAAAGACATGCCCACATGGTAGCAGCTTCAGAATGGAATGGCTCGTGAATCATATGGTTGGATGTGTGTTTTGCCGGGACCTTGTTCAAGATGGGCTACTATTGTAAAGGCAATGCCATGGTTGCAAACTCCTCCCCGTGTTTTGATGCTGTTGAGAAGCGAGTCACAAACCACATGCTCCCGGACACTTGAATCACGCACGAGTGGCCCAGGGACGCATTGGAAATTTCCAGTGCGTGCCCAGTCTTTTTCTAGTGGACCCCAATACTGGTTGGTTTCCCCCTGGTGTTCCATTAAAACCAAAATGGGTACCCTCAAAAAGACACTAATCTACTTCTATTGGGACATGAAAGTGGGATTGCACTTTGCAAACTGCAAACGCAACAGACATGTGGGCTAGGACCGTTAAGTCTTGTTTTCCTTTTGTTTGTTTTTTGAGGGGTGGGGCGAGGGGCGGGGGTGGGGTGGGGGAGAGAATTTGCTGTGCGGTTGTGTTCCCCTTTGGGCAAGCTGGTGAGCATCGGCAGGCCTTCACCTCCCTGGGCATAGACGCCGCCATGCAGGTGGGAAACGGAAGAACGCCGGCCTCGAATGTTCATCCCGTGCTCCAGAAGAGTCTGTTTTTTTTGGAGGGTACCGATTTTTTGGTGGTTTTAACGGGAGACCAGAAGGAAACCAACATTTTGGGGGGCCCACTACAGGACACACCTAAAAGGTGAGCTCCAAAGTTGGAACGTTGAGTGGTTGGGGGATTTGAACCCCTCACTTTTGTAGAGGCTAAATGGGACACGATGTTGCAGGAGGAGGACAGAGGTGGACTAGCGGGTTCCCTCGCAAGATGTTTTTTCCCGTTCAGGACAACTCATACTGCTCATACTTGCTCATGGCTCAATGCAGGGGGTATTCTCCCCAGCCTAACGATTACAGATACAGACTTTTGCAGCATGTGACACTGTCCCTGAAGACATTGGATTGTGTCTTTGCTTGAAGCCTTGGAGCGATTGAATTGAGTGGCAGGTTCAAATTTGGCGAGTCCTTGGCGCGGATCGGACCTCAGAATTGGTCGCACCTTCGGCGCTTTTCAAAGGAAAGATAAGCCCTCTGAGACCGTCAGCTACCTTGTTGTTTGGTACACCCCCATTTTTCAAGATTCCTTTAGCTTTGGAAGGCGGGTTTCCATTTTGGTTTTCAGGGGTGTAGGGAGGTTCCAACGTACTGTGCCGTCTGAGATTCTGTGCCTGGGGAATTGTCCGGGCCTTGGGCAAGCATTGCAGCTAGAAATGTCAGCATGTGGCAAAAACAGTGGAGGGGGGCCTTTCACCTGGTTTAAAGGGAAACCAAAAAGACAACTGCCATCTTGAGAAGGACCTAGAGGAGCATTGATATTTGGACGAGCCATGAGGCAGCTTCGTGAACGAGGAACGCCAGGAGGGGTCGGCAGCCCAGAGCCACCACCACCTGGTTGAGGAGTTCCTTGTAGGCGGTAAAGGGAAGCCAAACGAACTGCGGGAAAAGCTCACCCAACAAACCCACCAGAAAACTTGCTCACCTAGAAAGCCCAGAACGCCTAGCTGGAGCACCTGCCTCTCCAATTTGAGAGACCGAGGGTGCGCCTCCGCGACGAGAGCCCGGCGCGGAGGGCGGCCGAACTCCTAGGGCTGCCGCCGGAGGAGCGAGGGAGCGTTGGAAAAGGGGACGACCCGTGGGGCTTTTGCTGGACAACCGAAGTAAATTTCAGGGTCAAACATGTTTAAGAGTTTTTTACGCGTGACTCAGCTCCTTGCCTGTGTTTGAAACGGGGCTCAGAAACTCCTCCTCACCTTCTTGTAGCCGCTGCCCCTGCACATCTCTTTCCAAATGCCTTTGAGAAGGATGTTGTTGGTGCTGCCTCCTTTCCTGCATGATTTCGTGGCCACTAGCCTATCCCCTCAAGTAATGTCCCCCGAAACCTCGAACCGCCCCATCGAACCGTATCGCTGGAACCCTCCCTACCGCCCCAGACGTCCCGGGAAGCCTCAGACCCGTCCTAGGCTGTTGGGGAAAAATCATAGCCAAGTGGATGCTGTATTTGAGTTGTTCTTTCTGTCGGCATTTTCAAATCCGAGACAAAGCGTGTTTCTGCAGTGGTTTCCTTGGAAGATGGTTTTGATCCTTGAATCTCCGGCGAATGGTCAACATCCTGCATGACATGCTTCGGTTTGTTCCCCCAAACCACTGCCGCCTAGAAAGGCCATTTCAATTTTTAGCTGTCGGTGTTGAATCTCATCGTCCCCTTGGGGGCAACCCTAGCCACCCGGCAAAGGGTTTGGGGCTGGCTCATGTTCAAGCGATGCCACGAGCTTGCATGGCTTGCAGCCAAGGGCCTGAACGACTGGCAACACCATTTTGTTGCACGAAGCATTGACGTGTGAGCTTTCATACCACACGGCTCGATTCGTTCCGTAGGCACTTCGAGGTGTCAGGTAGGGGAGATGCCAACATGATGAATGAAGCACAACGGGTCGAGCCTTGTGGCACACCATGTTGCTGATTTCGCTTGTGTCTTTTTTGATGCGCTTAGCACGCTCGAAGCCAAACCAGCGTGCTCACGGGAAGCAGTTCCCCGGATCATAGCGGATGGTTGTGGGAAACTGCTTGCGGTGGGTCCTCAAAAGACCGACCACGTTTTTGAAACCGGGTTTCCATTCTCTGACTACCCCAAGATAGACAAAATCCTAGGTTTTCTTCATCTTTGAAAAATGAACCGCCCCTGGGTTCAAGTCTACCCTGGGCTAGCAAACAAGTGGAACCCTGGTTCGAACAGCGTTGCTTCTAGCAACGGCTGGGGCATTCCACCAAAGTCTTTCGACAAAAAAACATGTTGGCCCAGTAGGCATAAGGTCCTTGGACTCCCAACCTCGGGCTGACAACGCATCTCCTGCAACCACAACTCTGCACCTGAGTCCCAAAAGTAGTCGAAATCACAGCGACTGTCGACACCCTCATGTTTCAAGCGTACGCTAAGTGAGACTTGGCGCGTTTTGGGTTTTGAACCCACGAGGAGTTGACAAAGTGCATGCTGGTGAGAAAGATCGCGGTAGGCGAGGTCGGGGCGTCTCGCGTTTCGGCATGGTCTGCAAGGGGAGGAGGGTTTTTTTGCTTCTGGCTGGCATTTTCGTTTGCGAGAGGCATCCAATTTGTTGTCGGCTTCCGGATGTGCCGAAAGGGATTGGGTTGATGGAGCTTCCAGGCAGAGAGCTGGTGGAGTCTCCCCAACGAGAGGAGCAGGCAAGAGAGTTGGCTATGCAATGCGCACTGCCGCGCGATGCTTTCAGGCCAAATCATCCAGAGATAGTCTAAGCAGCTCGGTCTGCATTAACCACCTGGTGCGCATGGAGGGAGTCACAAAAAAGCGCGTTTGCTCGTGAGGCAAGTTTATCTACGCCAGACTTTTTGTTTGGGCCGTCAACTGCTTGAACCAGACTCTCAAGGCCGGACGTCAATGCTCAGTCCCAGTGCGTTGCCATTCCCAAACGTAGGCCGACGTCACATCCAGGACAGCCAGCGCAGATCCCACACCTCGGCCTGGCAGTCGCAGTCAAAGACATCTGCAATTTCCTGTGATTACTAGGGCAGGTACACGTTGCTGATGGGAAGATCAAGGGATGTGTTTGGGCCCATTTGGCTGTGACTTCTAAAGCAATATATCAAAACGGCATGGTCAGTGGGAACTAAGGGCCGCGGTTTGCCCCAGCTCCTCCATTTGAGCCACGCCCATGGCGCCAGGACCAAAGCTCGTGCCTTGGGCATCCTGGACATTGTCACGGGCCCAGCGGGTGAACCTTTTTCAGCATGACTGGGGGCGGAAGTTCGCCGATGCAGAACCATGTGGTATTCCCTGAGTTCTGTTCTGGCCATGGCGCCAACAAATGCCCTGCAAAGTGAGGATTGCACATGAAGTCCTAGCACGGAGCAGTACAAGCAATGCAAGAATAGGTTCGATCATTTCTGATGTGTTTTGGTGAGACTGGATTTAAGAAATTCACGTCGGAGCCAACTATGCCAATTCACCTAAACATAGCTCCAGCATCAGGCAAATTCACATCTAAATCATTCAATTTCATGCATTTGCATTTCACGTGGATGCGTGCTCCTCTCGCACCTGTAGGTGGGGTCACCCCCCTGATCAGTACCTATCCCGCAATGAGATTGAAGATGCCTAAAGAGGCAAAACGTTCACATGCCCCCTATCACCTCCAAAATACGTGGTTTCTCTTCGGTTTCCCTCAAAACAACCAGGGAACCCAGTGTCAAGTTGGCTCAAAGGTCCAAGCACGAGCTTTGGGGGCTAGACGTGGTCATGCCTTGCGATTTGCACAAGCGCCAGCTAATCATTGAGCTGCCCGAGCTGCCGTATTGTCTTGCCAGGTAGGCCTCAGTTGTCTCCTTCCCTGCACCTGTGCCGGCATGATGCGCAATCTGATGGTGCTCTTTGTGGTGGGCGCTTTGGCCGACAAGGCCGAGCAAGCCGACGGGCCACAGGCAGAGGCAGCCGAGGCAGCCGAGCAGGGTGAACCGAGTGCTGGCCCTGGCGAGAACAGCTGGAATTTGGTCTATTGCAACTGCGGCCTCTCATGTGTGAAACAGGTGGACAACTGGTACATCTTCAACGTGGGCCAAGCCTGTGCCTGCAATGCCTGCCCCGAAGCCAACTCAACAGAGGCAAAGCTTCGAGGTGCAAAAGGTGTCCCATCCTCTCCGTCCTCTCCGCCCGTTCCGTCTGCTCTGTCCAAGATGGCTCTGGAAGCTGTGCCTACGGAGAGCGCACCGACCGGGAGCAAAGTGAAGACATGGGATGGCGCAACCATGCCCGGCAGCAACCTCCTGTACTGCAGCTCGGCATCGGAGGATTCAGCCTGAGCTGGACTTTGATTCTGCTTTGAGTTTTGAAGGTCTTTTCTGCTTCGTGGGTTGTTTGTGTCTTTTCAGCCGTCTAGGTCAGTGCGGCAAGCAGTGCGTGGATGGACGGATGCTTGGACTTTACACCTACTACTGCTTCCGCTATGGTTGCAAAGCTTGCTGATTCCAGGTGATCTCAGGTACAGAAGAAGCGATAGCTTCTAACCACTCCGGAACAGGATTTGTACAGACGAGATTCTGCAACAAGTTTTGCGCCCCTGTCAGCTGGGCGAGCATCAAGACTGCCCAGCTTTTGGCACAGGATGGTCGCTTTGAAGGACCCTTGTGCGCAGCATGACCTGTGCATGGCCTTTTGACCATAGCATGGCTTGCTACACCAGAAGTCGCACCTTAAGTGTGCATGAAGACCCTATGTAAAGATGAAGGCTGCGCAACAGCTTGCATCTTGCGTTTCATGCAAATGCAGTTGGCGCAAAAGAGGGTCCAAGCACGACCAGCTTTGGGGAATGCTGGGGACTGCAGCGAGGCATTAGATGTCGGGTGGGAGTGCAGGCCTTTGAAGGGTCAGGAAGCGATTTGCATAAGCGCCCGCTATCGAGCTGCCCGAGCTGCCGTATTGTCTTGCCAGCTGGGCCTCAGTCGTCTCCTTCCCTGCAACTGCGCTGACATGATGCGCAATCTGATGGTGCTCCTTGTGGTGGGCGCTTTGGCCGACAAGGCCGAGCAAGCCGACGGGCCACAGGCAGAGGCAGCCGAGGCAGCCGAGCAGGGTGAACCGAGCGCTGGCCCTGGCGAGAACAGCTGGAATTTGGTCTATTGCAACTGCGGCCTCTCATGTGTGAAGCAGGTGGACAACTGGTACATCTTCAACGTGGGCCAAGCCTGTGCCTGCAATGCCTGCCCCGAAGCCAAATCAACAGAGCCAAAGCTGCGAGGTGCAACAGGTGTCCCGTCCTCTCCGTCCTCTCCGCCCGTTCCGTCCGCTCAGGCCAAGATGGCTCTGGAAGCTGTGCCTAAGGAGAGCGCACCGACCGGGAGCAAAGCGAAGACGTGGGATGGCGCAACCATGCCCGGCAGCAACCTCCTGTACTGCAGCTCGGCATCGGAGGATTCAGCCTGAGCTGGACTTTGATTCTGCTTTGAGTTTGAAGGTCTTTTCTGGGCTTTGTGGGTTGTTTGGGTCTTCTCAGCCGTCTAGGTCAGTGCGGCAAGCAGTGCGTGGATGGACGGATGCTTGGACTTTACACCTACTACTGCTTCCGCTATGGTTGCAAAGCTTGCTGATTCCAGGTGATCTCAGGTACAGAAGAAGCGATAGCTTCTAACCACTCCGGAACAGGATTTGTACAGACGAGATTCTGCAACAAGTTTTGCGCCCCTGTCAGCTGGGCAAGCATCAAGACTGCCCAGCTTTGGCACAGGATGGTCGCTTTGAAGGACCCTTGTGCGCAGCATGACCTGTGCATGGCCTTTTGACCATAGCATGGCTTGCTACACCAGAAGTCGCACCTTAAGTGTGCATGAAGACCCTATGTAAAGATGAAGGCTGCGCAACAGCTTGCATCTTGCGTTTCATGCAAATGCAGTTGGCGCAAAAGAGGGTGCAAGCACGACCAGCTTTGGGGGATGCTGGGGACTGCAGCGAGGCATTAGATGTCGGGTGGGAGTGCAGGCCTTTGAAGGGTCAGGAAGCGATTTTCATAGGCGCCCGCTATCGAGCTGCCCGAGCTGCCGTATTGTCTTTGTCGTCTCCTTTCCTGCACCTGCGCTGCCATGATGCGCAATCTGATGGTGCTCCTTGTGGTGGGCGCTTTGGCCGACAAGGCCGAGCAAGCCGACGAGCCACAGGCAGGGGCAGCCGAGGCAGAGGCAGTCGAGGAAGTCGAACAGGGTGAACCGAGTGCTGGCCCTGGCGACAACAGCTGGAATTTGGTCTATTGCAACTGCGGCCTCTCATGTGTGAAGCAGGTGGACAACTGGTACATCTTCAACGTGGGCCAAGCCTGTGCCTGCAATGCCTGCTCCGAAGCCAACTCAACAGAGGCAAAGCTGCGAGGTGCAAAAGGTGTCCCGTCCTCTCCGTCCTCTCCGCCCGTTCCGTCCGCTCAGGCCAAGATGGCTCTGGAAGCTGTGCCTAAGGAGAGCGCACCGACCGGGAGCAAAGTGAAGACATGGGATGGCGCAACCATGCCCGGCAGCAACCTCCTGTACTGCAGCTCGGCATCGGAGGATTCAGCCTGAGCTGGACTTTGATTCTGCTTTGAGTTTTGAAGGTCTTTTCTGCTTCGTGGGTTGTTTGTGTCTTTTCAGCCGTTTAGGTCAGTGCGGCAAGCAGTGCGTGGATGGACGGATGCTTGGACTTTACACCTACTACTGCTTCCGCTATGGTTGCAAAGCTTGCTGATTCCAGGTGATCTCAGGTACAGAAGAAGCGATAGCTTCTAACCACTCCGGAACAGGATTTGTACAGACGAGATTCTGCAACAAGTTTTGCGCCCCTGTCAGCTGGGCGAGCATCAAGACTGCCCAGCTTTTGGCACAGGATGGTCGCTTTGAAGGACCCTTGTGCGCAGCATGACCTGTGCATGGCCTTTTGACCATAGCATGGCTTGCTACACCAGAAGTCGCACCTTAAGTGTGCATGAAGACCCTATGTAAAGATGAAGGCTGCGCAACAGCTTGCATCTTGCGTTTCATGCAAATGCAGTTGGCGCAAAAGAGGGTCCAAGCACGACCAGCTTTGGGGAATGCTGGGGACTGCAGCGAGGCATTAGATGTCGGGTGGGAGTGCAGGCCTTTGAACGGTCAGGAAGCGATTTGCATAAGCTCCCGCTATCGAGCTGCCCGAGCTGCCGTATTGTCTTGCCAGGTAGGTCTCAGTCGTCTCCTTTCCTGCACCTGCGCTGACATGATGCGCAATCTGATGGTGCTCCTTGTGGTGGGCGCTTTGGCCGACAAGGCCGAGCAAGCCGACGAGCCACAGGCAGAGGCAGTCGGGGAAGTCGAGCAGGGTGAACCGAGTGCTGGCCCTGGCGACAACAGCTGGAATTTGGTCTATTGCAACTGCGGCCTCTCATGTGTGAAGCAGGTGGACAACTGGTACATCTTCAACGTGGGCCAAGCCTGTGCCTGCAATGCCTGCCCCGAAGCCAACTCAACAGAGGCAAAGCTGCGAGGTGCAAAAGGTGTCCCATCCTCTCCGTCCTCTCCGCCCGTTCCGTCCGCTCAGTCCAAGATGGCTCTGGAAGCTGTGCCTACGGAGAGCGCACCGACCGGGAGCAAAGTGAAGACATGGGATGGCGCAACCATGCCCGGCAGCAACCTCCTGTACTGCAGCTCGGCATCGGAGGATTCAGCCTGAGCTGGACTTTGATTTTTCTTCGAGTTTTGAAGGTCTTTTCTGGGCTTTGTGGGTTGTTTGGGTCTTTTAAGCCGTCTAGGTCAGTGCGGCAAGCAGTGCGTGGATGGACGGATGCTTGGACTTTACACCTACTACTGCTTCCGCTATGGTTGCAAAGCTTGCTGATTCCAGGTGATCTCAGGTACAGAAGAAGCGATAGCTTCTAACCACTCCGGAACAGGATTTGTACAGACGAGATTCTGCAACAAGTTTTGCGCCCCTGTCAGCTGGGCGAGCATCAAGACTGCCCAGCTTTTGGCACAGGATGGTCGCTTTGAAGGACCCTTGTGCGCAGCATGACCTGTGCATGGCCTTTTGACCATAGCATGGCTTGCTACACCAGAAGTCGCACCTTAAGTGTGCATGAAGACCCAGTGTAAAGATGAAGGCTGCGCAACAGCTTGCATCTTGCGTTTCATGCAAATGCAGTTGGCGCAAAAGAGGGTCCAAGCACGACCAGCTTTGGGGAATGCTGGGGACTGCAGCGAGGCATTAGATGTCGGGTGGGAGTGCAGGCCTTTGAACGGTCAGGAAGCGATTTGCATAAGCTCCCGCTATCGAGCTGCCCGAGCTGCCGTATTGTCTTGCCAGGTAGGTCTCAGTCGTCTCCTTTCCTGCACCTGCGCTGACATGATGCGCAATCTGATGGTGCTCCTTGTGGTGGGCGCTTTGGCCGACAAGGCCGAGCAAGCCGACGAGCCACAGGCAGAGGCAGTCGGGGAAGTCGAGCAGGGTGAACCGAGTGCTGGCCCTGGCGAGAACAGCTGGAAATTGGTCTATTGCAACTGCGGCCTCTCATGTGTGAAGCAGGTGGACAACTGGTACATCTTCAGCGTGGGCCAAGCCTGTGCCTGCAATGCCTGCCCCGAAGCCAACTCAACAGAGGCAAAGCTGCGAGGTGCAAAAGGTGTCCCGTCCTCTCCGTCCTCTGCGCCCGTTCCGTCCGCTCAGTCCAAGATGGCTCTGGAAGCTGTGCCTACGGAGAGCGCACCGACCGGGAGCAAAGTGAAGACATGGGATGGCGCAACCATGCCGGGCAGCAACCTCCTGTACTGCAGCTCGGCATCGGAGGATCCAGCCTGAGCTGGACTTTGATTCTGCTTTGAGTTTTGAAGGTCTTTTCTGGGCTTCGTGGGTTGTTTGTGTCTTTTCAGCCGTCTAGGTCAGTGCGGCAAGCAGTGCGTGGATGGACGGATGCTTGGACTTTACACCTACTACTGCTTCCGCTATGGTTGCAAAGCTTGCTGATTCCAGGTGATCTCAGGTACAGAAGAAGCGGCAGCTTCTAACCACTCCGGAACAGGATTTGTACAGACGAGATTCGGTAGCAAGCTTTGCGCCCTTGTCAGCTGGGCAAGCATCAAGACTGCCCAGCTTCTGGTTCAGGATGGTCCCTTGTGCGCAGCATGACCTGTGCATGGCCTTTTGACCATAGCATGGCTTGCTACACCAGAAGTCGCACCTTAAGTGTGCATGAAGACCCAGTGTAAAGATGAAGGCTGCGCAACAGCTTGCATCTTGCGGTTCATGCAAATGCAGTTGGCGCAAAAGAGGGTGCAAGCACGACCAGCCTTGGGGGAAGGTGGGGACCCTTGGAAGACATTGGAAGGATGAGGCCCTGCTTAGCATTTGCTCCAACGTCCACCAAGTGCAACGCAGCACTCTCTCGTCATGCCCCCTGTCACTACATGCGCCCAGAATACATGCCTATCAATGACTCCTTTCTTGGGCTGGACCGCCGTCCAGCTCCAGACCACGGGCCACATTTGACCTTGACACATTTGGACAAAGACCGAAGTACGCACGTTTGGGACTTTAGTTTCTTAGTGTGTGTTTAGCTCCCGGTTAGCGGGGAATTCATTACTGGGGGGAAGGGATCACAGTTTTCCATGATGTTTGATCCGGGGACCACCTCAGCAGCGGTTGGTGGACATGAATCTCCTAAATGATGTCCACCGAGTCCGGGACCCATTCAAAATCACATCAATTTCCGAATAGTTTTGCAATAGTAACATGGCCACCCTTCTTGTGGACCTTCCCAAAAGAAGGAGCAAAATGACACCAAGGCCCCGAAACAGTCCTTCATTTACCCTGGAATGTTGCAGGGCTGATCGGTTTCCTGAACTCTGTCAAGAGGCTTGGGATTTTTTGGGGTGACTTTGGAAAGAACGAGTGGCCAGTGACAGAACCCAGCGCCATGCGAGGCTGGCTTCGAAAGCCTGGAGCTCGGCTGTGTGGCGAAGAGGTCCAGACGTTTTCTGGTGAGGTGCTAAACTCGTTTGGGCTCCATGTTGGATGATCAAGAAAGACATGAGGAAAAAACAGTGAAGGAGACATACTATTTGCAAGGCAGTTGGTTTCAGTATAGACGAGGGGGAGGTTTCGGCACAGAGAGCTTGGCCGAGGTTTTGAAAACAACTCCTTGGAGCAGCTGTTGATCAACCTCTGCAATGTGAGCCCGAGATGTCGGAAGCATTTCCCAATCCAAGCCCTTCTGACCTCTCAAGACCAATCGGCAGGAACATCTCCAGCAGTTCTTCAACACCTTTGCAGCTTGGCATGGAGCGATCTGTGACTCCGGTCTCCCTCGTTGGGGTTGGTTTATATAAAGGGAAGCCAGAAGGGAGACCATCCATTTTGAGAGTCCCTCTATTTTGAGACCGACTCATTCGTTTCTCACGAGCTGCTGAGCCACGTCAGGTTTTCAGGGCAGAGCTGGAAGATTATGCCAAAGAAGGTGCGAAGCGTTTCGGCGCAAGAAACGCATCCCCGAGACGACGGCTGACAAAGGAATTGGAGGTTTCCTTCATTGTGGATGGTGCTTGAAGGACATCTTTGAGGAGGATACGCATGTTTATGGCTGTGTTAATTTTGGAAACACCCAACAGCTTTGTGGAAGGGTGCGGTGCAGAGACATTGACTAGTGACCCCGGATTTGTTCGAGCCTTGGCAGCCAGAGGTGCGCTCCCAAAGAGGCTTTCCCGGAAAGGGGACCTCAATCAATCACAGGCGTGTGGAAGGCATCAGCATTGGCTTCCGCTCCATTACGCAGCTCACACAATTGGTGTCTCAGTGATTGCGGCAGGCCTAGTACTCGACTGCAACGTTAATTTTGTGGACAACGCTGATGCCGCTTGGCGTCGCAGAGGTTTAGATGGGAGCACTTGTGCAGGCGGTGTTTAGGGGACAGCTTGGGGGGGATTGTCACCAAGGTTTCTACCATTTTACCAGCGTTGCACCAGAGATGGTCCTTGAAGATAGTCAAGCTCCATGCTTGGTGCCCAAAAGAATAACAGGTGCGTGTGTTTATTTGGACAGGTGGGTGCTGATTGAATTTCCCAACAGGGGTTCCCCCTATGAGATAGTGGTTGGATGGCACAAGGCAAGGTTGGTGAATGGCATGTTACTCCCATGCACAAAAAGGGGTCCAATTCTGAAAAGGAGTTGACTTGCCAAAGATTGTGTAATCTGTTGCTCGGGTTTCATGTTGTCTGCAGGGGAGTTTCGGGGGTCATCACCGATTGCACCCTCGTGGTTTTGGGGTTCCATGTAGGTGTTTGTTTTTGGAGTCGGTACCCCTGGTGTTTTGAAGGGATCCAAAGGACTCTTTGGCACATAGCCGAAGCCCTTTAGGGGTAGGCTCGGTACCCCTTGAGTCAAACGGGGAAATCAAAAGGAGTCAAACATGCTTGGGGTTTTCCTGGCAGACACACCCATCGGAGCGATGGGTCTCTGAGGTTCTGGAGCTCGTGGATGGGCGGGGAGGAGTGTTGGACCTGTTGGACGAAGAGGCCGGTGATCTCGGTCTCCCAAAAGGGCCGAGTAAGAGGCAAAGATGTAACATCGTGTCTTTCTTTGAGGGTGCCCTTTTTGAGGTTGTTTGTGACGGGAAACCAAAAGGAAACCACTCATGTGCGGGGGGTGGGGGCGTCCCTCAAAAAACGACACGCAATTAGGTGGAAAAGCAGGTTTGGGTTGGGAAAACAGGGAGGGGCCTTCTTTTAGGGGTATCCGTTTTAGCGGGGCTTTGGCGGGAGAAGGGAAATGAAAGGAAAGGGACACCACCTGTTTCGGGGTTCTTTCCGGAAAGGGGAAGACGTTTGCTGGAACACCCTGGATGCATAGGTTTCTTGTAGGTTTGGGGATGATCCTTGGCCTCTGCCTCTTGTGCGTTTTATTGTCCAGGGTCTTCAGACATTTCATTTCGCCAGGTGGCCATGCCGAAGGGGACGGATGAGTCCTTTGTGTCGAAGGTGAAGTCAGGCGAATCTGGGAGCAAAGGCAACAAAACAAGATCAAGTCTTGGTGACTGCTGTGCTTACACCCGGCTTCGGGGCCGCCAAAAGCAACAAACCAGCATGAGTCCAGAACCAGGGCTTCGCGAAGTGAGCCATTGCCAAAGCGCGCTTCGCATACTGCACTTGTACTGATAAAGTGTGATTTCTGAGCTGGAACTCGTCAAAGCATGCTTCACGTGTTCACTCGTGCTATAAAGTTGCGATTTCCGAGCTGGAGCTGCCAAAGCGTGCTTCGCACACTCACTTGCACCGAGAAGTGTGATCTTTGAGCTGGAGCTGCCAAAGCGCACTTCTTGTGCTACGCTTATACGGAACAGTTGCTCTTGTTGAGCTGGAGCTTCCAAAGCGCGCTTGCACTGAAGAGTTGTGGTTTTGAGCTGGAGCCGCCAAAGTGTGCTTGGCTGGCTTCACTTGTACTGAAAAGGCGTGAGCTTGAAAGCGTGCAAAGCTCAACACGCTGCATAGCAAGATTGGCCCCCTTGATTTGCTTCGATTTGGCTGCAAAATGAGTCTGAGCGGGTCCAAAGCGAGACCAAGCCAGTTTGTCATTGTGGAAGACAATGTCATTAGTCAGCTGCTCATGTAATGTCCATCTTGACTCATCTGAAATTCATAAATGAATAGCTGTTCTCTTGCTACTTATTCTCCATAATGTCGGCGTGAGAGGCTTCAGGAAGAGGCTGAAACGGTGCTTTCTTCTCATTGGCAAGTACGGGGGAGTGTCTTTTTCTGAGGGTCCCCTTTTTGTGGTTTTAAAGGGAAACCAAGATAACACCACAGTTTGGGGCCGTCCCCTCAAAAAGAGACACACCAAGAAGGGTCTTGAGATGTTGCGAAGCTTTTGGCAGGCGCCTTGGGTCAGCATCAGCGCTTCGTCAAGTCCAAGATCAGCGCGCGGGTAATCTTTGGAGCCAGGCTTCCCAGTCCGAACGCGGGAACGACGGTGATGAGACCTGTGCAAACCTTCCTCAGACACGCCTTTGAAAGGGACGAATGAGAGGGAACCCGTTTGGTGGGGTCAAAACACCCCCCCAAGGACCTGCAACAAGGGAATTCATTCCGCAGTCACGACGACTTCGTCGGCCAAAGGGTAGTGTTGATTTGGAAATTATCCAAACAGAAAGCAGTGTAGCCCGTACTTTGGAGGGCCGCTCAGTTGAACAGAGAGTGCCATGTTCATCAAGAAGCTTAGTGAGCACTGAGGTCAAGCATTTTGCGGGCGAGGCGTTGGTCTCAGCGTTCCGGTCAGTGCATTGACTTTCTGAAGAAGGGGGGCCTATTCAGCTCAGCCTGCTGCTACTGCTGCTGCTACTGCGTGTGGCAGCGAGGTCCTGTACAATTGCGAGGGGTTCTTGCAGAAGAATACTGACAAGCAACCGGAAGACTTCATTCGGCTGCTGCCCTCAGCAACGCCAGGCACCTAGCTCCCGTGCATCAGCGCCCAGTCGAGATCCCACACCAGAAGCAACCCGCGGGATCTTGCCCAAATGTGGTTTCCCCATGGCAAGCTCATTGCATACCCACAAAGCGTCAGGGAAAAGACAGTTTGGTGGCGCCGAGTCAACTTCTTTGCTCCGAGGCTTGAGCTCCTCCAACAGCTCAAAGAGAATCCTGAGGCCGGGAGGGACCGCAAGGATTGTTCGGCTACGAGCCAGGCCAGTGTGGGCATGGCAAAACGCAGGCACCGCCTGCGAAAAGCCCTGGGCGCAAGACGAAATCAACATCCTCAAAGCTGCCCAGATGCAAGCCATGCAAGCCATGCAAGCCATGCAAGCCATGCAAGCCATGCAACCCATGCAACCCATGCAACCCATGCAACCCATGCAACCCATGCAACCCATGCAAGCTGTACGCATTTTGAAGGGGACGTGTCTCACGTTCCAGAAAGAACGTGAAGACATTTGGATATGTCGACGGAGCCGAGGTTCCGCTGCTCACTGCGCATGCTCATCGGCAAGATAAACACATCAGATCCACACTTCGTCAGATGCATCAAGCCGAATGCGGAGAAGGCCAGCTTGGGAAATGCACAAACTGCACAAAGGCATTGAGATGCCAACGATTGCTGATCTTTTTGTATCTGGTTGACAGGTGCCCGGCAGGTTTGATTCTCAACTGGCCGCGGCCCCATGCCAGTATGCCAGTGCGAGTGGAACAGATGGACAGTCACGCATGCTTTGTCATGAGCGTGTACAGTGTAGCTCAAAGAAACATCAGGGCATGCGGTTTTTGAGTTGGCGCCCGTTTTCATCTTGGCAGGTGAAACCAAAAAGGACCACCGCCATCTTCGGTTTTCTCATATGTCCACACAATCCCCCATCTGGTCACCATTCATGCCCTGGACAGAGTTCTCAGGTTCTGGAACAGCTCTTGTTTAGCGGAATCTTGGAGGCTGTCTGGCGCCCGGACTTCTGCGGCCAGAGGTCGAATTGCTCTTGCAAAAGGGTATGTAAAGAACCGAGCCCCATGATAGGTTTCTTTTGCTTATTGTTTGAGGGACGACTCGTTTTCGGCTGGCAAGGGAGCAATGGAATCGCCCGAGGTGCAGATTCGACAGAAGGGATTCGCATCGAGATCATCCTTCGAGGACTTTCTGAAGAGGCGTGCCGGTCTGCCAAATGGAAACAACATATGGGTTTGTTTGACCCCTCTTTGGAGGCCAACAAAGGTGCTGGGCCATTTTGCTGGCGGCATCGTGTGTCTGGCGTAGTTGGCTTCAGCTCAGGTATGGCTGCATTGCAAAGTATGCCACACACACCGCCGGCGAGACTTGGATGCCACCAGGCGCGCTTGGCCGCGAAGCTCTTGCTGCCTGAATTGTAAGGATCTTGTGCACTACTTGGTGGATAAGATGAAGCTGAGCCAATCTGGAATACAAGTGGGGAAGACCAAGGTGTTCCTGAAGGATCGCCTGGCATGATTTCAGCTGCCCGCTACCCTATGAGCAGTGTAGAGTTCACTGGTCATTCCGGCAAGACAAAGTGCCAGATGCCCGTTGGGAATGCATGCCTACCCAACCTTTGTTCTTCCGCCCCGACAATCATTGCTCCTGCCTCCATGCAGACCTATTCTCACCTGCCCAAAGCCGACCTTTTGACCTTTTGGTTTTCCCTTTTTGGTCCAGTTTTAGTAAAGGTCCCAAAAGGTTAGCCTTTTATTTCTGGGTCCTTTGGGCAAGTATGGCCAAAAGAAAGCTAGGTCGGTAGGTCCTTCTAATCATGTCTTTTTGCTTTTGGAGTCACCCAATCGGTGTGTCCAAATTACTAAATGGGCCATTCGGGCCATTTTGCGCATGTGGGCAACCTTTTCAGGAGTCAGAGGCCCCCATCTCTTGTGAGCCTTCCAGGCCTTCGTAGTCGACCAGCTCGAAGCCGCCCGATCGCTGGTGCCTGCGCCTCAGCGTCGCCGGAGTCTTTTCCCTGACACCGCATGTTGGTTGTTTGTTTAAAGGCAACCACATGGAAGCTGACCATTTTAGTTGGGTCTAAACTTGATACTAGTTGGTTTTGAGACATGTGTCGAGCACAGGGGCTTGCTGCAGATGGATCCGCGAATGCAGCTCTGAGGCGCAACGACATGACAACCAGGCTACAAACATCGATCAGGGCAAGGCCAGGCAACAACGGGCAAGAGGACCATGCTTTCTTACTCGCGCGGGTTCCGGGCGCACTGTTCAATCACAAGAGGGTTGAGAACCGCACTCCTGAAGTTTGTGAAGCGAGCGTCAAAAAAATCCAAACGAAAACAGCAAGAACGCCTCTCACATCTCCTTCAAGCTTGGACAGAATGATACATGTGGAAGCAGCCCCAAGGACCTGGAAAGGGATTTGGCAACTGCTGTAACATCGTAACCGCTCTCTTTCTTTGTCCCTCTCTCTCTCTCTCTCTCTTTCGCTCGCTCGCTCTTTCTTTTTAAGCAGAAAGAACGCCTCCATGGCACAACGGGAGAAGGAGCAAGCAGCAGAAGTGTATGTCAATGTTTGCGGCAGTTCCACTGCTTCGTTTGATTTGGAAAGAGGATCTCTCAATGGCGATGAACCATCAGCTTAGTTGAAAGGCGAAGGGGCTTGGCTTCCCGTTTTGGTTTCAAAGGGAAACCAAGAGGAAACCCAACTATTTCACGGAATCCAAGAGAGATTTCAAGAGGACACCAAGTAACAAGAAAGCAAGACAAGGGAAACCAGGAGGAAATCATGCAACCAAGGGAAGCCAATAGCAAGAACAGAACAATGCAAGTGGAAGCCAGGAAACCAAGGAAAGACCGGGGAAAGACCGGGAGGAAGCCAAGGGAAACAAGTTGCGGATTATGAGAATCCGCAGGCAAGCGCATCAGCGCTTCGCTGCCGCGCGCCCGGCCGCCAAAGCAGTGGAGACCTGCCTGCGGTCGGGTGGCCCAGCGTTTGCGCGCGGCGATTTTTTATACAGAGCCACCTCAGTAGTTACATGTTGTCCAAGAAAGGGTCCCCCATTAAAATGTATTGGTTTGTTTTTCAGGGTACCCTTTTGCGCTTGGCTGCTTGGTTGAAAGGGAAACCAAAAGAAAACCGCAATTTTGAGTGGTCCCCCTATGTTGAAACAATGCCGGCGACGCTTGGAGAGTCTCCTGGAAGGATTGGCCTGCAGAGGGCCCTTTGCCTGAAGTCTTGCAGCAAAGACATTTGCCGGCGCGACATGCGAACACCGCACCTCCTAGCTGAAACCCTGCTCCTCACATCCAGAAGGCAACCAGATGTTGAAAGACTGATAGACAAAGAAGGAACCGAGCCGAGGGTGGGCGATGCATGGAGCTTAAAGGCTCTGACTCGTTTCTTCCCCACTGCGTTCTGCTCGGTCTGCAGCAGTAGGATGTGTGACCGGGTAGCTTCAACTAGATCGGCTCAACGGAAGCCGCCGCCTCTCTTCAGGCGACCAAGTTTTGGTCGTTTCGGAACCCCATCGCTCCACCCGAAATCATCCATGCCCAAATATTGAGCCATACCCATTGCAACGAAAAACCGTTCTCAGAATCCAGAGCTTCCCTCCAAGCAGAACGGCCAAGACATGAGCATAAAACCAAATGAGAGCACAGGCGGAATATGATGAGTGGCTAATCCGAAGGGGCCCTCTGTTTTTCTGAGGCGCATTGGCTTCCCGGGAAACGCAGCAGAGGTCGACGACAGGCGAGGGCTGGGCTCTGGGGATCTACGGTGGCAGCTGCCCACAGCAAAGACATTGCAAAAAGGAATTGTTTTAAACAGAACCGCGTGTGCAGCATGCCTAGAGACCTACCTGCCTGCCTTTCTGCTTGTTCTGATTGCGTCTGTGTGTTTGTGTGTGTGTGGGTGTGTTGTGTGTGTGTGTGTGTGTGTGTGTGTGTGTGTGTGTGTGTGTGTGTGTGTGTGTGTGTGTGTGTGTGTGTGTGTGTGTGTGTGTGTGTGTGTGTGTGTGTGTGTGTGTGTGTGTGTGTGTGTGTGTGTGTGTGTGTGTGTGTGTGTGTGTGTGTGTGTGTGTGTGTGTGTGTGTGTGTGTGTGTGTGTGTGTGTGTGTGTGTGTGTGTGTGTGTGTGTGTGTGTGTGTGTGTGTGTGTGTGTGTGTGTGTGTGTGTGTGTGTGTGTGTGTGTGTGTGTGTGTGTGTGTGTGTGTGTGTGTGTGTGTGTGTGTGTGTGTGTGTGTGTGTGTGTGTGTGTGTGTGTGTGTGTGTGTGTGTGTGTGTGTGTGTGTGTGTGTGTGTGTGTGTGTGTGTGTGTGTGTGTGTGTGTGTGTGTGTGTGTGTGTGTGTGTGTGTGTGTGTGTGTGTGTGTGTGTGTGTGTGTGTGTGTGTGTGTGTGTGTGTGTGTGTGTGTGTGTGTGTGTGTGTGTGTGTGTGTGTGTGTGTGTGTGTGTGTGTGTGTGTGTGTGTGTGTGTGTGTGTGTGTGTGTTTGCGTGCTTGTGTGTCTGTGTGTCTGTGAGTCTGTGTGTTTGTGTGTTTGTGGCTGTGCCTGCGCGTCTGCCTCAGTGTCCGTGGCTGTGTTTTTGCGTGCTTCGCATGATGTGAATTTGTGTGTGTGTGTGCTCATGGGATGTGTGCATGTTCACATATTTGTGTTTATGCCGGTTCGTAGGTGGATGACATGGCATGCTGACCTGACTGGCCCAAGCTAGCTACACCCATGAAGTGACACGCGCTGAAGTTTGCTGCTGCGATTGGGGTGAAACCGTTGGCTGGACAGATGTCCCCCCGGTCAAGCTGAAACAACACATTGAAGAGACCAGCCTGAGCACTTTGCGTTTAGTCAGCTTTGTAGACGACTGCCTCACACATCAGCCAAACGCAACTTATGTCAGCGATGGCTAACACCAACTTTCCTTGCCGTTACAGAGGGAAGAAGACAGAGTACATTTCAGAATTCAGAGGGATTTCTGACCTGTCCCCCCGTCAACAAACCGCTAAAGTGGACGCCTGTGGCAGCCGTGGATCCGCAGGCTGCCTCTGATCGACAAGGTTGGGCCTGATGCACCGACCTCGGCTGGGATAGCGTGTGATTGGCTCAGGATGATGTCCACACAGAATTTGTTGTTCAAATGAGGAAGAGCACTCACCGAGGTTTGTCCAGGCCAATTATTGCAAGTCATCCGTCTCTATGTGAGTGTGAAACCCCAGAGCCCCGATGAAAGGTTTTGAGTCAACCTTTCAACATTTGGGCGTCGTGCTAGACCCATGTATTCGGCTCAGTATTCCGAATTTCCAGGCTTACATGGTATGAGTCATGAGCTTCCCACTGTGAGCGCGGAAGAGACGCGGAAGGGTGGCGGAAGAGATGCGGACGGCCATTAACCGAAAACATTGATCGAACACCAGTGACAACTTGAGTATAGATTTAGCACAACCCCCATTTGATGAGTTTCAACCAGTTCACAGAGTTTCCAATGCAAGCTACACATAGTTTGACCGTGGCACCAGACTTTGCTGCATTTCTTCTTTTGGTCACACCTTGCCGGGCTCTTGCGCACAGCGAGGCCAGATCCTTCCTGACAGATCTTCAGCAAGCGGAGTCTCAGCTGTGCAGGGCTCAGGTGGCTGCCATGTGCTCCTAGGATCGATAAGCATCATCAAGAGGGACGGGGTATCTCCTTCTTGCTGAGCTGTTTGCACAGGGATCCCGTGGTTGCTTTTGCTGCCTTAAGGGCCTTTGCATGCAGGCCAAATTTCCCAAGCTCCCAGAGGCTTCGGGAATGCGCTCAGGCGGGTTTGCAAATGCAACCCATGCATCCTGCCAAAGACACACGTCGTTTGTCGAGCTGAACGCACCTTTCATCTCCCCTATGTGACAGGCTGTGATGGGTCGTCTGACCAAGGAGCTGGCGAATTTGCTTGAGCGTCGCTTGTAGATCTGGGTCGGTGCGGGAGATGAGTCGGTCACTACAGCAAACGTGGCGCTTCATTTCCACGGACCTGCGTATCTATTCTGAATGGGGGTTCCCTGTTTGCGGTAGTTCCACTAGGGAGTTTCCCAAACTGGTGGACCCCTTTTTGGTATTCAAAGGGAAGGGAAACCAAAAGAGCACCAACCATTCTAAAGGCTTTGAGAGACATTTGGAAAGGAGCTCCAGTGCTTGGAGCATCTGCAGAGCCTTGCCTGGCACCCATGCGACCTCTTTGCAGAAGCCTTTGGCTTGTGGTGTCCTTTCGAATGTGTCAAGAGGATTGGGACCAGAACCCACTTCCATGTTTCGCCTTTTTGCAGAGGAAATTCCCTTTGAACTCAACTACCAAAACAGGTGCTCGCAGGGTCTGGCCACTGGGTCTGCGCCCCAATGATGATTTCCCGTTAGATTTCCCTGAAACCATGGAAAAGGCACCTTAGCTCAGAGGACCTAAAAAAGCTGGGGTCATTATTTTATAGGTTTATGGGAGTTATCACAGTCACAAAATGGTGTGGTTTCCCTTTGCCCTACTTGGGGGGTAACTTTGGTGAGATG